AGGTCTCACCTCACAAAAAGCCACTGACAGGTGGCGGTTATGCTACAAATCTTTGTTTTGATTTCCTCAGGGTGGCAACTCTTGTTGTAGCAGAACATCGACACTGATGTCAAGCAAGCCATGTCGAATCAATATTGCAACAGCCCCGTAACCTGTTAGTCATGAATGACGCACAGCTGCAGCTGAATTGTGGCTGATCTCAAAATTACTTTTCCACCCCAGAAATCCAGACAAGCATAGTTTGCTACCGCTGCTGCTGGTTATCATTATTCAGCATCTCTCCCCGCTGCCAGCCAGTACACCAGTCCGCTGTTGTTGTTACCCGTCTAGTCAGCGGAGTTGTTTAGACATTTTTTCTGTAGCCTGCACTCATGGCACCCCTTCTTGCAGTTTTTACTTCACAGCACGTTTCAAGGCCATTACAGGCACTTTGGTGTTGGAATGCACACTGACTTAGAGCAGTCACGCAGGTCTGCGCTTACCCGTGAGAGTGACCTCCCGAACTGCCTTGCTGGCTTGAACACGGGTGTCAAGTGGGGGAAATGCCAGCGTGAGAGCATTGTTTCGATTGGGGATTTCAATGTGAGGATCATAGTGTTGACCAGTTGCTGACCTTCCACATATTTCTGTGCATTTGGCACTGTGGAAACCTCACTAGCTACAACATTAGTATAATTGCAAAAATAGCCAGTACGAGGTCTGTGTCAAACGATTTCACAACCTTATAAATCTTTGATACCTACTGCCGCTCTAAAAAGCTGTGCTGAACAAACAAAACTAACCATCCTGTTTCTTCTGTTATAGGCCATGGTTGCTTGTTACCCAGGTAAAGGTGCCGGATATGTCCGCCATGTGGATAACCCAAATGGTGACGGGCGCTGCATCACATGTATCTACTATCTCAACAAGAACTGGGATGTTAAGGTATGATAAGGAAGTGAGGCCCCACTATTGATGATGCATAAGAACTGAGCCCTGCCTAAATTAGGTCACCACAAAATGGGTTTGTAATAGTCATAAATGCCACAAAATGGCACTAAAGCACTTGAAATGGACCGGATTATTAAAAAAGGGGTTGATGGATGTCTACAGGAGTTCAGATGTTCAGAGTAGCATACACACGCACACACACCAGATATTCCGTTTGGTGTCGTCACTGCGGTCTGTGACAACACAGATAAAGATAAATGAGCAAAGCATCAACCCTCAGTGTTCTAGTGGTCGTTTCCCACCCCAGAGGTTTGTGTTCAGTCCTCGGCCATTGCGACCGTGTCGAAGTGTCCTTGAGCAAGATACTGAACTCCCAATTGCTCCTGATGCTACGTCATCAGTAAGTGAATGAGGTAACAGTGTGAAGCACTTTGAGTACCCAAGGTAGAAAAGCGCTATTCAAGTGCCAGCGCAGCCCACCATGCATTTAGAATGTACACTATCATGACCCATGAATGACTGTAATCAGGCTAATAGCTAACTAAATTATTGCTATTCAAAAGTATTAGGTAGCTATTAGCCTAAATAACATGCTAGCAAAAAAATGATTTGAGAACTAGCTAGCAAAAAATGACTTGAGAACTAGCTTGTTTAACAAACCGCCAACAAAAATTGGCACTTTCCAAAATTCTGACCGCGAATGTGTGTGGGTTCACTGTACTGGTTCGTTACTGCAATTTTTCCTTCCATGTAGTTTGAATGAAGCCAAAAAGATTTTTTTTTTTTTTTTTTTTTTTTTTTAATCACAGACACAAGGAGGAGTTCTGCAAATCTTCCCCGAAGGCAAAAATGTGGTCGCCAACATCGAACCCTTGTTTGACAGGCTGCTAATCTTCTGGTCCGACCGCCGTAACCCACACGAAGTCAAACCGGCCTATGCCACTCGGTGAGCTTCAACTTGGAACATCCATCCATCCATCCATTGTCTAATCCGCTTATCCTCACAAGGGTCCGGGCATGCTGAAGCCTATCCCAGCTGGCTTGAGGTAGTAGGCGGGGTACACCCTGAACTGGTTGCCAGACAATCGCAGGGTACACATAGGCAAACAGCCATTTGCACTCACAATCACATCTAGGGACAATTTAGAGACTTCCATGAACCTGCCATGCATGTTTTTGGAATGTGGGAGGAAACTGGAGTACCCAGAGAAAACCCACCCAGGCATGGGGAGAACATGGAAACTCCACACAAGAAAGCCAGAGCTGGAATCGAACCCTGCCCTGCACCTTTGCACTATGAGGCAGATGTGCTAACCAGTTGATCACTGTGCCACCATCTTGAAACATTTTGAACAATTTTCATTGACGTCACTGAAGAGCATCCATCCTCTTCTCCTAGCTTGGGGGTGGGGAGGGGGCGAGGTGGGGTCAGAGGCAGGAAGTATGTGTTTCCTGAAAGGGGGGGACATGCCGGTGGGGAGGAAGGTTCAATTGCAGGGCTCGTGCTGGTGAGGCACATACATGAGAGACAGGAATAAACAAAGCAGCCCCACAGGAGTGAGGAGACACTGTGGAAATTAACCCCTCAGTGACCGAGACATCAGCCTGTACTCCACTAACATCCTAGAATGAACACAACTCCTGTCATTTACCTGCATTGCACTACTTCGGCTACATTTACACTATTGCTCGAAATGTAGTGCGGGATGCAATTTTGGCCTTGCTCTTCTCTGCATTCAGGTCTTGTTAATTTTTCTCATACTCTATCATAGTATCCATGAGATGGTTTTCTAATAATTCAATGCTTGTTTGTTTTTCAGCTATGCCATCACAGTTTGGTACTTTGACGCCAAAGAGCGAGCAGAAGCGAAAGAGAAATACAGGCTAGGTGAGCTAATGCCCAACACACACACACACACACACACACACACACACACACACACACACACACACACACACACACACACACACACACACACACACACACACACACACCACCTTTGTTAATTCTCTGTTAAATGAGTCGGGTTATATTGTGACAAATGTGCTCTATCTCTGCTACCTGTGTCCATAGCAACAGGACAGAAAGGTGTTCAAGTGCCTGTCAGTCAGAACAGCAGGACATGAATCCCCGCTAATCACCGGAGAGCCAGCATGAAAGCACCGTGTGCCTTTCTGAGCTCTTAATGGATGCTATAAAAGGACTTAAGGGAGTTAAACTGTCACTGGCTTGTGCAGAACAGACCGCGCTGCTCTAGTAAAGGTCAGCCCGCAGTCCTCCCCCGTGGAAAATGAAAAATTCCTGTTCTTTAGACATCTCACCGCTTCCTTAATGAGGACAATTAACTGGAAAAAAGGACTCCTGTCTATTTTGTATGTTTGTTACTTTGCCTGTTGTTAGTAATGTGAGGAATGCTTTCCCAATTTAAAGAGGAAGAACATTATGATTCCAGTCGGAGATACACAAGGAGGGTCAATCATCAATGGGACGTTTTGATCCTGCGATCATTTTCCGCATAGATGTGAAATGGCCATTATGGAAGAACTGTGACTACTTGATCGTAAGGAGATGGTACTTGTTTACTCAGTACTGACCATCCACACTAAGCTGAATTGTCCACTGAAGATATTGGAATACAAGGTGGCATAAGCGTTTCATTTGCTCTCAATTCAATGTAATTGCTATCTAACGAGAGTTTCAGCATGAGGGAAAACTTTTCACTCTGCGTTTGGAAGTGATGTGGACAGACACCGCTTCATAGCCTCAACCTCAAACAGGGTCTCATTTAAAAGTGTGTTGTGTGCATGTGTGTGGGTGTGTATGCGAGGCCACTTGAAACTCATACTTGCTCCAAGAAAAGAAGTACAACATGCAGATGTCGACCACACGGTGACAGATAATACAATCTATACTTAGAATTAACAACAACAAAAAAAGATGCTATACGTACACTCACTGGTAACACCTGAATATGCATGTAATACAGTACAAGAGCTGTATTGACACTACAATGCCAAGAAATAGACTGATAAGCCTAAAATTGATTGTTAAAGTGAATGTTTATTCTGGTGAAAGAAAATGGCAAGTGTCGGTCTGTGTTGGGATACATTTATTGAGTTTCCATTCTTGCATTTTAACAAAAAGTTCCCTCTCCATCAATATTATTCATATATACAGGTGCATTTTTAAATAATACTCATTAAAAGCTTATTTCAGAAATCGACTAATATCCAGGGCAGAGTTTTTCAGCAGTTAATTCTAATTTATGTTATATGATGAAGCACGACACGTTGTTTCAGAAGTGTTTATCAAACTGGTTGCCCTTCAAATTAACCAGTACACCGCTTCTTCTAGCTCCGTTTCAAAATGGTTGGTGAACCCTCCTCAAACTTTATTGAGCCAAAGCACATTTTTTAAGTATGAAAAGTTGCACGGCACACCACCAGACAAAATTGTCATAAAAAGAGGGTACACGTCATGTCAATTTCATACTTTTTGCCATCTATTAGAAGATTAGTATTTGTTCTTTCTGTCACCATAAGTTATGGCATAGATGGATGGACAAAGATACATTATTTGTTGTTAATAAATGATTTTCTCACCAATTAAGTAAAATTTGATCACTTCCCGCGGCATACCGTTAGCGCTCTCACGGCACACTAATGTGCCCCAGCAGACTGGTTGAGAATCATCCTTCAGGATGGTGCAAAAGATTGTTCCTTTACATTAGCAGAGTAAAAATAACATTAAATGAAATCAATTTTAAAAAACTTCAATGGCGAATATTTTTCGCTGATTTCTAAAATAACATGTTTTGCTCCTTTCTTGTCATTTCTGGCCAGAAGATGCTAGTTCGTATTTAAAAAAAATCAATTCAAGATATGAATCTTTTAGGGTTCAACTGCATTAATTTAATAATATAAAGAATATTGTAGTTGTACTTTGCAGTGGTGTAGAATCGCACTGCATCGCAAAAAGGCTCGTACTGAATAGTAAATAAAAGCTTTTCGCTATTTGCCCTTCTGGTGTAACCAAAATAAGGCAACCAAAATGAACAACAATAACTATCCAAACTGACAATTATGGTTTGAGTACAGATCTGGATGAGATCTCATTATAATGTGCATGTGCTGCTGAGTTGATATGCTAATTATTATTGACACGACTTTTATTTCCGGACTACATAGGAACAATAAAATCCTAAGCACAAGGTTGAGCGCACACACAAACCGTTTGTGAACTGCAGCATTGAACTGCCTGTGTGTGTGTGTGTGTGTGTGTGTGTGTGTGTGTGTGTGTGTGTGTGTGTGTGTGTGTGTGTGTGTGTGCGCGCGCGTGTGTGTGTGAGCGAGAGACAGACTTTTTCCAATGGGTATTTGCACACGTGATGGATCTACTGTCTTGACAACGGTTACCGTTGTTTGTGTTAGCCTGGTTAAAGAGGTTACTTAACAACAAAAGCACTTTATTGAGTGAACTGAAATGAGTGTTTGTAAAGAAAACTGAGCCAGATAAAGGAGTTACTCTTAACTGGCTAGTTAAAGAAAATGCAATAATGCCTGTTTGTCTTTTCTTTTTTAATGCTTGACAACAATCACACCAATTGTGAAATTCTGTGACAACGGAGGGGGGAAAGAATTAAATGCAGACTTTCATGTTGTGGCACTTATGATTTTTAGAAAACACAGAGACATCGCTACAATAAGACGAATAAAGCAAAACTCAGCCAAGATTAGCATTGACCTTTACCTCATTTTGTAGGAACATACCACCCTTTATAAACCCACAGCGCCCCCAAAAAAGTAACAAGTTCCCTGGTCGACTGATAGAAATAGCCTAATTGGATACCCTGATAAAAACAAACAAACAAACAAAAAAATTAGGAGCTGGCATTTAAAAACCCTGTAAAGTGAATTCAGAAATTTGTTTCCAAGTGCATATTACATGTTTGAAGATAGTGGCTGAAAATATGTCCAAAAACAGAATGAGATACAGCATTAGCTAAACTGGGCTTTAGGCTGGCATGTCCACTTGAGAGCACCTCCTTGTCAACCTTGAGTCCGCGCGTGCCAGGCAGACACTGGTGGAAGAATGAGGATGGGCAAAAAAACCCAAAAAACGTCCCAACGAGACAGCCCGGTTCTGGATAGGGGTTATGTTATTTCAAACCATTTTTGGGGGATTGGGGCCGGGGGGCGATTAACGGCCTTACCATTCATTTCAAAGGGCAAATATGATTTGAGATCCAAAAGTACTGAGTTATGAGCATGGTCATGGAATTAATTAAACTCATATCTCAAGGCACTGGCATACTGTAAAATATTTCATATCTAATATTATTTTGAAAAACCTGAATTGGTGTAAACCATTAAAATGCACATAATGCATTGGTAGCATAGTAGAATTTTGACAATGAACAACTGACCAAAAAAGACACACTACTGAGTACATTGGAGTGAAAATAAACAACATAAATAGCTGCTGCATCAAATTAACACATTGCTTTAACTTGCCGCGACGCTTCATACATCTTGATATCGGGGCAGTGTCCTCGGATCCTGAAATGGCCCACTTTTGGGCCTTTCCTCTAGCACTTCCTTGTGGCTCATTTGCTCCATAACAGTTCACAAACAATTGCATATGTAGTGCAGTGATCAACCATTAGGGGTCCCAATAACACATGACAAATGAGTCACTACCCAGTACAGTACAGTAAATTGCTTTTGGGTGGGTTTTAATCTGTCAAATCAAACATTAATTGGATATACAACGTCTCCATTATTTGAATACATCTTTAATTCAATGTATTAAGAACAGCTGAGGCACGATGTCTGTTTTGCGAAGCTCAGAGTGTGATGGCTGTCAAATAATGATATGGAAAGTCTATTGATGAGTCCGTACGCTAGACTGATATAAATCAACAAGATAGCACTTTTAGTTCGTCGATGATGTAGTCTCTCAATTGTTGCTCATCACGCTAAGTGGGGCAAATCTGTCAAGTGCAAGTGCAAATACAGCTGTTGGTTCAGGGTGTGTCCCCCACTCCCTCTCTCTCCTTTTTTTTTTTTTACAACTAAACAATTTTACATCGATCATATACTATAGTATAAGTATAATGAGTGTAAAAAGTCTAAAAACCCTTTTTGTGTGATCCAAGATTAATCATTTCAAAACTTTTTCCACCATTAATGTTTCCTTTGTGGGGGTAACGGAACACATGTCGTGGCGTTACGTATTCGGAATACAAAAAAAGGAACTGTAATAAGTTACAGTTCGGTCCGTTTGTGTATTTGAGCCCTGAGCGCAACACATGGATAAATTGTCATTATTCGTCTGGCTCATATGATGGATGACTCCACTGACGCAGTCGTTCCGACTCGGGTGACTATTCTCTGACGTGTCCTCCAAACGGGACCTGTTTTGAAAGCAAGCAGCAACGCAGGAAAACAGCAACACACTCATTGGAGGACTGATTCATCCAAAATAACATTTACAAAGAAATGGCGAGCTGTCGCGAAGACTACTACATATGGCTGGGCTATAGCTGGTAGCCGCTGCAAGGCTAACGTACGTTAAATGTTACCCTCCTGTCACAAAACACTGACAGTTTTGCTATTTAAACACTACATGAACAATAAAAACGGCTGAACTTTTCACTGGGATGAAAGTGTTTTTTTTTCGCAATGGCGTCACGCATCGTCATCATTGTATAACTACAGTCCGTGTGCGTGCGTTTGTGTGTGGGGGCTACCACGACTGGCATAAAATGTTGCCTGAAGCTTATTTTGTCCTCTTTCATCCTGTTTTTCCCTTTTCACTCTTTATAAAAACAACAAAACATAGTGGAGCAAGCAAATCTAGGTTTCCTCCTTTCTTTTGTTCTGTCTGTCTGTCTGTCTGTCTGTGCCTACCTGTACGTCTCTGCCGGGTGTTGCCTTCAGGGACAGTTCAAAAACAGCCTACCTCATGCAACTAAGCAATTGTTTCACATGGCCTCCAATCAAGCAATAAATTCCGATCTAGCTATCTATTTTAAAATATGCATATGAATGAACAATATTCACGTATTTTCGCTGTTCGCCAGCCGGTCCCTATCCCCTGTGAATAATGTTTTTTTTTTTTCATTTATTGATCTCATTAGCATATTTGGTATTGGGGCACATTGAAGGTGATTAAGAGTAATCAAGTTACATTACTTTAATATTATGGTATTTGGATTATGCTGCAAACTACATTTTCAACAGCTAACTACTAACTATATCAGAATACATTTTAAAAGTAACCCTCCCAAGCCTGCCTATAATGTTTACTATTTAATTGAAAATAAAAATTGTTTTCGAGACAAGAAATGTGTCAACTAAATAAAAGTGTATGCACAACAGTAGTCAAAAGATAACTAAAACTGGTATATTTTCAATACCATCCGCAATGGGGAGTGAAGACAGGACACCACAGAGCAATTTACCATCCATCCATTTTCTTATCCGCTTATCTTCACAAGCGGGTTGAGCAATTTTCCAAGAAAAAAAAAACTTCATTTGTATATTCATTAGCAAATACAGGAAATTCTCATCCATTTCTTCACAATGTGTCACAACATAGACATTTCCTCTACTATGTTCTCACAAGGTTAAAAGAACCCTACTCACTCTGTGTTTAATGTGAGTAATATGTGTGTAATACTGGCTGCAATATTTGTTAATTTACAAAAAGATTCATTTGTTTTGCAGTTAATATACATCCTCATAGAATCTCGACTATTTTTAACTTCTGAAGGTGTTTCTAATTTAGTCTGCCATTGAGTTGCTCTTTTCAGTGTATTGAATTGATCTAAATTAGACCTAAGTGATAAACTATTAAAAAGAGGAAAGATACAGGATGTATTTTATCATGCCTTTGCAGAGCTGTCCATTCTCTAGTTATCACTTCAGTTTTTCTCGAAAACTGTCTTTGTTTGATCAAGGTTTAGTTACAGTTAATGACAGCGCAGTGATTTTTTTTTTTGCAAATCTCAAGAACCACCTTTAATGTCCTCCACGCTAAGGTCACGTCTGTAGTTTCCATGGTGATGGCCTCCTGCTCAGTATTCCTCTTGTACAATTACTAAATACTGTGCGTTCACGTAACGTTTGGTATGCCTGTACTGTATATCATTCTGAAAAAACGAAACAAAAAACAAACGAATCACTTTAAAAGGGGTTTCTGACATTACATGAGAGGGAAATCTCTCATAAATCAGAGCAATAGTATTGATTGTACAGCTGTACCTAAAGTTATAGCCAGTGAGTGTTTTCAATGGCCGAATATGAATCTCTCCTTTGTGATGTCTATTTCTAGTCTAATCGATAGATTGCATTTCATGCTTGAGGTTGCACACATAAAAGCTCCATCACACTGGCACAGGCTCAGACTGATGATTGCATCCTGTGTCGCGCAGTCACAACTGAGAGGAATAATTGTGTCTAATAGTTTCATTTGGTCAGTTTGTTACAGAAGAGTAAAAATAAATAAATAATAATAATAATAATTGAACACTTTAAACTGCAACCGGATTATAAACGAAAATATTGAATTAATACCTCCCTCACTCAATCAAAATTAAGCGATATCATTTATCCATCCGTATAATAAAGCAGGTATGATTAAGAGCAATTTTTTTGCTCTAACTGATTTTAATTGTGTTTATTTTATTGTTTTTCTTTCTGTCGTTGCTATGACAGTTCTTATGGGACAGCTTGTTTTTTGCTCGAACTGATTTTAATTGTGTTTATTTTATTGTTTCTCTTTTTGTCGTTGCTATGACAGTTCTTATGGGACAGCTTGTGCCTGGACATCTATCCCATGAGCATATCCAACACAGGGGCAGGCTGAGACAATCTGATCCCTCTGTCTGACCCCGGGTCCCTCTTATGCCTGATGCAAGTCCCCACCCTGAGTCAAATCGCGATTATTTCAGTTCTGGTTTTAAAAAAAAAAAAAGAAAGATGATTGTGAAATTATGTTGCTCAAGGCTGATGCATGCCATGCAACGGCCAGATGCTGGTGCAGTTCATGGTTTCACACTTGGCAAAACCAAAGTTGCCTTATTTCCTCTTAGTCCTCCACCAGCTTTGCATTTTACATTCTCGGAATACTTGTTCATTATAGCATTGAGGGAATTGCTTATTTGACACTTGTATGCTGTTCAAATGCTAAATAAAGCATTGCTTGTAGAATTCACAAAGATCTTGCTCTGAGAGTTTGCTCTGGTTCACATTGTTTCTCACAGGGAAATTGTTTTCAAAAAAAAAAAAACAACACAAGATAAACCTGAGCAAATATTGTCGATAAGTGGCAGTCCGCAGAGTAATCCTCTCCTGGAGAATAAGAATAAGAAGAACAAGAAGATTAGGGCACTAAGCATCTGGTCCAGATGAAGAGGATCATGCCGAAGGAGTAGCACGCTAGTACTGTCGTCATTTTCCACCTGTTCTTCGCGGTGGAGAGCACTGTCATGTCAGCTCTCCGTATTGCACAACAATATAGCGGTCAGGCATCTAATCAACATGACAGCGCGACGGTCCATCTGCTACCAGCAAAGAGTCAGAATGATTTATCCCTAAAGGGATTAGGTTTCCATGAGTGCTCCGTGGGAAAGAATGAAATGTGGCTGGGGGTAGGAGGGTTTCCGCTTGCATCTTAAATGCTGACTTTACTTCACCATAATGGACATTGAAAGTGAAGCCTTTTTCATTTTAATGTTGTAAGACAAAAATACCAGCAACAGCAGCCTAAATACCTTTTGGAAATTAGTTGCGGAGAAGTGAATCCTTGAATAGGGCTGGCCAACGAGGTAGAAGAATGTTCGGCAATATTGCAGGACTCAAATAATGAGGATTTGGATGAAGTGAAGTATTAAAGTGGGATGAGAATGCAGGGGAATATGTCTGCAATGATGGGAAATTAAGAGTTTTTACTTTAACCTTATGAATCCATCCTGGTTGAATAAAGATTGATTGATTGAATGATAATGGATATACCAGAAACCCTCTTGAGGATAAGTGGTTCGGATCAAGGATGGATGGAATTAAACAATAGCTCACCCAGTGGTTTATCTTGGACCAAAGTATGGGTTGTGACATTTGTACATCTGTATGGATTATTTTTATCGATTGGACCATCCATTTTGTACAGCTTTTGTCCTTGTTAGGCTCATGGGTGCGTTGAAGCCAATCCCAGCTGCACCTATGGACAATTTGGAGTCCGGATTTAATTTAAATAGATGCTGCTGAGCATGATAAACATCAATTTGCATACAAAGCGAATAGATCAACAGTCATCAGCAGCCCTACACACAGTTCTTTCACACCTTGAGGCCTCCCCTATGTCAGGATGCTATCGGTGGATTTAGATCTGCATGTAACCCTGTCATTAAATCACCAGGATGGACGAGATTAGAAATTAGCTCATCGGGGGGGTTGATAGCCAAGGTTAGATGTTTTGGGGGTAAAGTTAGAAAGTTCGAGAGCGCCATCTTAGATGTTTTGGACACATGAGGATAGATAGCGGGTATATCCGCAGAATGGTGATGAGTATGGAGCTGCGGAGAGAGTAAGCAAGAAGACTAAAGAGAAGGTTGTGGCGGGGGAAGAAATGAGGGTCACTGGTGTTTCAGAGGTGGATATAGAAGATGGACTTCGATGGTAAACGATGAAATGCTGTGACGACCCTTAACTGGAGAAGACGAAAGGAAAAGAAGATGTTGTAAACTTGTCATTACTAATCTGATACTCAAACAGAAACTGACCAACCTTGTCTTGGGCAGTTTTTCGTTTTCCAGGCTTCCTCAGAAATAGACCACAAAATGCATTTATAGGGAAGTACACATCATGTGTTGGCTTTTAATTCTTAGAAAACGGTGGCAATGAATTTACCTGGTAACCTATTTCTTGGTAGTCCTAACTCGAAACTGTCAAACTCATGGCCCGGGGGCCAAATTTGGCCCACCAGGTCATTTTATGTGGCCCGCAAAAGTAAATCATGTGTGTTAACTTGCTAAAATCTGGAGCGAAATGTCATGTTGTTATGTGTCATAAATAACGTTGAGATTTTGCAATGATTTTGTTACCCTGTTTACCCTCACTTGAACAATAATTGAACAAACTATTTTAATCGAGTTGACTGATTTCAAAATTAGGAATCTATTCATTTGTTGTGTAAAAGTAATTTTGTCTTCAAACTCCTAATCGGCCCGTGACTAAAATGAGTTTGACACCCCTGCCCTAACTCATCAGGATGGGTAGTTTCTTCCCCCTTGTTGGATCAAAATATTGACCCAACGTACTGGTTATAACCCTGAACCCATTGCATTGAGTATTAATAACCCTGCGTTGGTTCAGACACTTTGAGACCTAGTGCTGGTTTCACCATTTTACTCAATTTGACTGAAGCTGGTGGCCACAGTTTTGTTGCCTACTGAAATTGAAGTAAATTTAATGTAACATTCTGGCGGTTATGCAATATGCTAGCCGTCCATGAACATAAATGGTGACTTTATATTTGTTGTCTTATCTTGATACTTCATTTTGTACTTCTCAACAATGAAAGCTTTGAATTGCTCCTTCAATGCTTTGCCTTTGTTTTGGATTCCAACCGGTCACAGATTGTTCCAGAGATGAGACAATTTCTAGAGAAATGAAGCTGTAATATTCTGGGATACATTCTGGGGTCGGGGGGGGGGGATCATCACAGCAGCATTTTATTTACCCCCGGAGCTGCTGGGTCTTAGCCTCACAAAGTACACACTTTTCTAGTTACCCTCTAAAGGCCCCTCTGTTGAGCATGTTAACGAGACCAAGGACTTGTATGTTCCACATCCCAAATCATTAAAAAATTCTTTGCATAACATGCCTTCACTACACGAAAAAAAACCTGCAGTGCTGTTTGCAGTGTACACGCAGTATGCTATGAATGTTCTCATATAATTCAGTGTTACTGGAGTAACATTAAAGGAAATATTACTAAAACAATTATTGCTCTTTTTTTTCCAAAAAGACTTATAAATTACAAACACACTCACTACTGGAAAACATGTCTTTATAAATAAGTATTTATGTATGTAAAAATAAGGCAGACAGATTGAACTGCTGTATTTTCAAACTTAAAAAAAGATGGAAAAAATACAGAATTTCACATGGGCTTCAGTTTAAAAGTAAAAATGAATTTATACTGTCTTCTGTTACTGACATAGCTGAATACCCACTTTGATAACTTGGCACCATAGAAAAAAAATGCACTCATTGGTTTCAGTTCCTGATGAATTTTCATAGTACTCATGCTGAAAAGAATAAAAAAAGACATGTTCCATTACACCGTTCCTTCTTTTTTAAAAATAAGAGTTACTTCTAGTACTCATGCTGAAAAGAATAAAAAAAAGACATGTTCCGTAACACCGTTCCTTCTTTTTTAAAAATAAGAGTTACTTAGCGTTGACTCGACTTATGCTATCAAAACGACATGGTACCATAGCTTTAGTTGCATTGTGAAAGAAGTAAAAAAAAAAAATGCGAAAGTAGCTAATTATAACAATGAAAAAATACACCTGACTTGTGACTGTTTTTTTTTTCTCCAGTTAGTTGCAGATTTATTTATTTATTTATTTATTTATTTTTAGCATAGCAAATGGCACAATACATCCGTCATTTATCGTTCCAGCAGTCGAACATCTCTCTTTAATCAGGAAGATGGATAGGGAATATTTTGCTTCTTCAAATATTTTGCATCATGTTAATGCTTTAATGCTCACATGTTTCACGTTCTTCAATGTCACTGCTGTCTTCTGTCAGTTATTGTAATACTTGTGACTGTTTTTTTTTTCCTCCAGTTAGTTACAGATTTATTTATTTATTTATTTTTAGCCTAGCAAATGGCACAGTACATCCGTCATTTATCGTTCCAGCAGTCGAACATCTCTCTTTAATCAGGAAGATGGATAGGGAATATTTTGCTTCTTCAAATATTTTGCATCATTCTTGTTAATGCTCACGTTTCACGTTTTTCAATGTCACTGCTGTCTTCTGTCAGTTATTGTAAAGATCCCAAAATCTCAGTAAATCAAGATGCGGTTGACTCCCCTTATTTGTAGTGATGTCATTTTTACATGGTGTCATCATCGATGGAATGTGAAAAAAAATGAACAAGAAGCCAATTTCGAAAAAACTAAGGGAGTCCAGTTATCGGTTACCAAATGTGCAGAGTAAAAGTGAAAAGTCATTAGAAAAATAAATATTCATATAAAGTACAAAGGGGCGGCCTGGTGGTCGACTGGTTAGCGCATCGGCCTCACAGTGCAGAGGTGCGAGGTTTGCATGTTCTCCCCGTGCCTGCGTGGGTTTTCTCCGGGTCCTCCGGTTTCCTCCCACATTCCAAAAACATGCATGGCAGGCTGATTGAACACTCTAAATTGTCCCTAGGTGTTAGCGTGAGTGCGGTTGCGGTTTTTTAAAATAATTGTTATATGCAAGTCTAATTTTCTCATAACTATTATTACAACGTTCTATGGCTGAAGTACAGTTTTGTGCAAAAACACTTAAACACAAGAAATGAACCTTCACAGATTCTGAGCAGCATGTTGATGGCCGAGATAATTTCCTCTGGCAAAAAGTGCATGCTTTAATCATTATTAGAGATAATACTGGACATTTCAATCCCCACAGGTGATAGAGAATGCCAATTTCCATCCATTTATTTGATCAATCTTTCAGATCACAATAAAATTTTCTCAGAGATTTTGTTGTGATCCAGTGAAATCAAGGATGAACTTTTTGCCCATAATGCCAAAAGGTATTTTTGGTGCAAATATAACACTGCTCATCACTCCATCTTACAGTGAAGCATGCTGGTGGCGGCATCATTCTTTGGGCTTGTATTTCTATAGCTGAAGTCATTTGGACAGAGGTGTGTACACTTCTTCCATCCACTGTATTGACAATCAAACAAACAAAGACCCATGTTCAAATAATATAAGTACTGTGTAAATGCCGTACATCAAAACAAATGTAAGCAGGCATTCCAGGAGCGGTGATGTACTGAAATGTCATGAGATAGACATCTCATGACAGCCTCCCCTCCTCTCTTGCCTCTTATTATTCTCTCCCTCTGCCTTCAGTTTACAATGCGATGCAGGCTAACAAGAGGGCATCAATGGCAATGTGCCCTTGAGTGATATCCACGACAGGAACGTCCCATTTGGCGCACTGCGTGCATAAGAGGAAGGACGTTAGGACACATAGGAGCACATGGGAATGAATCACAGTGATAAATACAAAATAGAAGATAATATTAGAGTCTTGCTTGTGTTTAAAGGGGGCGAATGAGCCAGCTTGCTCTCCGTTATTGATTGACCTCCACCGTAATCATAACACTAGCCGCATCTCTCAGTGGTTTTCCACAAAGTACCAACAGAGTGGATTTTTATGGTACACATTATATTGTGTCATAGGCTGACAAAGACGGAAGGTTGCTCGGCTACGGTGTCATGTGACAGGGCGTGTTTTGAAACAGCCCCGACTAAACAGACAGCTGTGACCTCTAACAGGTAACTCTATTGCTATACAAACACACTTGGAGTGCCTCGTTTGACATGACATGACATTCAATTGAGAGAAATGATGGGGGAAAAAAAAAGTGTTTATTAAATGCCATTCTGTTAGTTTTCCACCAGATTTAACAAGAAACAGGCTAGTTAAACTTGGCACACACATTCAAAATGTGTTACTAATAAGTGCAGAACAGTCACCATGGGTCCTCACACAAAACAATCCAAGATGAGGGCTGTGGGAAAAAAAAACAGCTGACAAAAACATGGTCTGCTTTAAATTCCTTGTACTCATTGCTTATTCACATGCAAATCCAAAATATGTGTGTATTTATGTGTGTATTTAAAATAGGGCCTGACTGATATTGATCGTTTGAGGCTGATGCTAATTCTGATATTTGGCAGAATAACATTCTGAGAACCAATTAATCGACCATTAATCAAAGTTATCTGCAATGAATAAAATAACACTTTTTTTGAGCTGTCAATGCTTAAAAGGATAAAGATATACATTACAGGTCGAACATTTGACTGCGTCATGATACTTTGTCCTTTAGGAATTGTTCGACTTTACGACAGAGAGAAAAATTAACGAACATAAACATTTGTGAGTCAGTTTTTTTCTTTCTTTTTTTTTTTTTTTTAAGTGGAGCGGGATATATGAATGTCATACTTGTTTGTGTAAAACCAAAAAAATCCACAAAAGTCAGAAGATTTTTGCCGATTTTAAAAGAGCTAATATTAGCCGCCCGATTAATCGCTTGGGCCCTAGTAATAACGTACAACGGGTTTTCATTTAAGTATCACTACTGTGTCAAGAACATAATTATATTAAGACATTCTGTATAACTATTGTCACACATTGTGCACTCATAAATAACGGAAAACATCAAGTAATAAAACACAAAAAAATCCTAGTCACCTCACTTTTGAAACACGCCAAAGAGCCTCATTAAAAGGGCTCGTAAACTATGTTCGTATTTGGACTTCCTAAATGTAACGGTCCGCGCACACACTCAGTCGCACTACTGAAATTCCAATCGAGGTGGAAATAGTCTGGTGTTCTGATTGTAGATTAAAGTGAGGTGGAAATGAAGGGATGAGTGTGGAAATCAAGTCTGTGCGGGGTGCGCATTAGCTGTCACCCCGTGCGCTCACGTGCGCATCTTGGAGGAACCACTGAGTCTTCAGATCTCATTGTACCCTACACAGATTCAAGGGTACAGAACTTAACCAAGCCTCCTCCATGTTTCATAGTGGGAAGAGTGTTCTTTTGTTGGATCGGCTTCATTTGTGCATGTTTCAACATGCACACATGTTGCCAAAAAGCTCCTGTTTTTGTCTCATCTGTAAAAGGCCATGCTCACAGAATTCAGTTTCAAGTTCTTTTCATGACCATTGTTGTTTTTTAGTTATTTAAAGGCAATAAAGACAGCAATGAGCATTATGAAACTGGATGGATTGATGTATGGGTGGTCCTATCAATACTGTACTGTACGATAATGTACAAACATAACAAGGATCCCACACTGAACCGTACACACTGATAAGGGCTCTTTTGATTTAAAAAATGATGACCTTTAGCTAACTATGAATAAAATATCTCCTCACCACATCGACTCAGTGATGCCTTTTCATCATGATGAAGCACATTCCTCCCTAATAATAAGCAACCTTCGAAGAAAACATGTTTTGCAACTTCTATGTGGTTTCTAGACAGCACAGATAAGCAATCATGAAGGGCCTGAATTGAGTAAGATGCTTTTCCGGACCAAATACCTGGTATTGAGTTACATAAAGATTAGGACAGATCATTTTCCTTTCTGTCGCCACCTTGGCAAAGTGTTCTGTGTTCGTCTCCGCTCGTGACACCTGAGACAGCAGAACTGTAACTGTTCCATGCTTTTTTTTTTTAATGCGTGTCCTACTTTTGGTGGTTACATGACCAACCCGACAGCTTCTGTACACATAGTCCCACCAGCAGTTTGTCCAAAAGCGATTCAAGGACGAATTTAACATATGTTGAAAGTTCTCCCATTTCCAATGGGAAATTAGAAAATTGCACAGAAAACAAAAAGCGAATTTTTCCTCATTAGCTCACATTTTTTAACACTTTTTAGGCAGAATTCATGTGGCAAAATCCACCACAAAAAGGAGTTGCCAGAACAAAAGTTATATTATGTATTATTGATACAGGCAATTCATTAAATGACATTTTAATTGGTGTACAGTTGCATTGTGTGTGTGTGTGTGTGTGTGTGTGTGTGTGTGTGTGTGTTTATGTGAAAACTGCACTGTATTATAATGATAGGTGATCCTCTTATTTAGTCCCTCACATTTAAATAAATGAGATAACCAACATTCCTTTTTTGCAGTTTGCTCATCCACATTGCAAATATCAGATGACCCTGTCACAGGAGCACAAAAGCATGTGTCTCATTTGCTACTTGTATGTGTGTTTGTGTGTGTGTGTGTGTGTGTGTGTGTGTGTGTGTGTGTGTGTGTGTGTGTGTGTGTGTGTCTGTTATTAGATATGGGGCCTACTCTAGGAGAAACTAATGTACTGCCGTGTTTTAGGAGTAAAACACGCCACGTTTTATTTTGAAGCGTCACGGTTATATTGCGAGTGAACGAAAAACCAGTTTGAAACAGCAACATAAGTGCAAAGGATGTGCATGTCAAAGTTGTTGTTCTTGTTTATGAACCGAAAGGAATGAAGGGGACATAATGTGGAAAAATGACTTTTTAATTGCTTGTACAGTGGTCCCTTGAGTTGCCCCAACCTATGTGCTTTTCAAGGTACGAGCCGTAATTTGGCTGACTTTTTGCTTTGAGTTGTGAGCAAAAATTTGTAATACGTGCTCTGTATGATGGCAGTGAATCCACTACAACTCATGTCACAAAAGGAGTAGTTTGGCAAAAAGTGAAAACATTTTCCAAAAAGAGGCTTCAAGTGTTTTAATGGCACCTCCAGTTTACTGTCAAAATAAAAGTCTTCCTGTCGTATCTTGATACTAACTAATAAAACTGGTCAGCAGCAAATTTTAATCAGAGATGGCTTTATGTGTCCCCAAACGTGTTTTTTTATGCTGATTTCAAAGGACATAAAGTTTTTGAGATATTTTCATTTTCTTTTTAATTTTGACCATTAAAAGCTTGAATATGGATTTTACCATGCGTTATAATTTATAACTATGACATCTCAAAAACAAATTCTACCTGCTGCTGATCCTAACCCTTCATTCATAAATATTACTAAATCATTACTATACTACCTTGTATATTATTATGAGTACTGAAACCCTGATGTGCTGGAAACGTAGAGTTGTAAACTGCGAAACCACATTCAAATACATACAGACAAATACTCTATATAATTTTTTTTGGGGGGGGGCATCCACCGCATTCCCCTCGTTTTTTTTTTGTGAAAAACTCATCCTTAATTTTTTTTTTAGAACATTTTAGGTTTAATTTTTATCTTGTCAATGCGTTTCAACTGGTGTCGATTATACGCGGATTTTTGCTATTCGTGGGCCGGCCGGTTCTCATCTATGGAAGTAAGTCCTTGCCATTTTATACACTGGATTATTTTTTTATTTTTTAGAATAAATATTTTTTCACTTGAATGTTGAATTTCAAGGCTAAAAAAATCAATGTTAGGAATTTTGATGCCCCAAAAAAATCTGTTTGAAATTCAAACTCAAACAGTCACATATTCCAAAGCATACGCCATCCATTTTCCATTCTTTATGCTCACAAGGGTCCACACAGGAAAGCCGCCAACAGTACTCGTCCGCCGTGAAACGAATGCAGCAATTAGGCCACGCCCCTCTTGACGTAACACAACGCCTCTTTCAGGATACGTACTATCAGTGTGTATTGCTTTGTCACTTCAAATAAGAAAGGAGCGGCAGTTGAGTTCACCTCGTGTGTTCCTCACAACTCGCACTATTGTTTTCAAAGTTGGAACTTCGTCCCAGGTCAACTTTTAACACGCCGTAACTATGGCTGACAAGTTGGAAGACGTCAAAGCGCACAACGGCGGCGAGGACCCGCTGCCCAACGGTTCGTCCCGCGGCGTGGAGCAACCTCTCTCCCGGCGTGTGAAGCGGATAGTCATGGACAATCTTTTGGTAATCTTAACCGTGGCAGGCGTCATTATTGGCGTTTTCATCGGTCTCGGCGTGCGTAACGCGGAGCTCTCCCGCACCCAAATCATTTACATCGGCTTCCCCGGCGAGCTGCTTATCCGGCTACTAAAGATGATTATCATCCCGTTGGTGGTGTGCAGTCTGGTCTCGGGGGCGGCCAGCATCGATCCCAAAGCCCTGGGCAGGCTGGGCGGCTGGGCGATGCTCTTCTTCCTGGTGACCACGTTGATCGCTTCGGCAATTGGGGTGGTGATGGCGTTTATCATCAAGCCGGGCTCGGTGACTCTGACCAAACCTAAAGTGGCGGGTTTGGATGACGGCGTGCCCGAATCCAAAGAAGTCATAGACTCCTTTTTAGACTTGATCAGGTGAGTGAAAGTCTCCAATTTTCCAAGTCTAACGTTGTTCACATGCCCAAGGGGCTTTGTCTCGGGCTCCTCCAGTAAGCCCACGTGAAGCCCTCAACCACATGGCACGGTGTATATCTTGCTGCAATGAACGAATGTAGTTGCGTCAGCTCATGTTGCTACGGGCTAAATTAACACTCCCGGCCCAAATGGGGCCGGAGGGGTCTTATCACACTTATCAGTCCACATGCGAATGTTGCTCTTATTTTATGTATTATTTTGTTTAATAACTGACAACTAAGATAAGCTCATATCAGTCACGTTTGGCAGTGCAGTGGTTAACAAACAAGCACATGATGTAACATTACCTGATGGGACAAACCTGTTCATTAAAAATCAGGAAGAAGCCAAACAGTGTGGTGTCACTATCGGGAAACAAATTTACACAATTAGACTACGAATTGAAAGGGGGACTTTACATTGTTCATATGTTAATTGGTGGCTCTAGTTTGTTATTGCAGTTGTATGCAAAGGATGTGGTATCAATCATGTCTTAACACGAAGTAATGTAATCATGTAAAGTGAATGAATTTATTTTGTTGCTATCGTAAAACATTTATTAACATTAATATCATGTATACAAGCAGTATTTGAACTGACATTCCTAACTATCACACGGGTGTTAAGTATAACTACCACTAACGGTGTAAAGCACAATCAAACTTGTTGCTAATCTTAACTTTTAATTAGCAGTATGTATGCAACACTGTGGCCATTTTAGTTTTTAGATTAGATTAGATTAGATATCCTTTATTTGTCCCACACTGGGGAAATTTACAGCCTTCAGCAGCAAGATTGTGGGTAGAAAGAAGAGAAAAGAAAACACAGTTCAATTAAGTGCAATATAAATACAAACATGGATAAGGTCAATAATTAAGTGCAATATAATACAATAGTCACAGTACTATTCACATATGTTGTCATAAAATGTTCACTTTTGTCATTGAAGTGTAATTTTATGAAAGAAATGACATTAACTGTGAAACAAATGACATAAATTACAGTACTTGTCGTTTAAAACTTTTTTAACCGTTCCTCTTGAGGGTTTAACTATTTTTAGTCAAGGTCAAATGCTCTTGAGGTTCAATTATAGCCCACAGGCCATAGGTTGCTTAGCCCTGACGTAAAAAGACATAAATGTGACTAAATGTGACCTCAAATGAACGCTGTTACTTCCATAACAATACTTGTATGGAAGAACACTAGTTTAGTCATTTGGCATGGAAATGTAGACATTGTTATAGTTTTGCCAACTTGTGCAAGAGGGCTGGGGGCTAAATGAATAACGAGGGAATGTATTCAAGCAGGGTATTCACACAAGCTCACACTGAGCCTTCATGATAATAGAACAGCAAGACAAACCCGTGTGTCTCATTATAGTGAGCCCTCTCGTGTGGTGCCCTGCCGTCTTTTGACAAGAGAGCTCATGTGGCAGCATGGCTACTGCTGTTCAACCAAGTGTAAAAAAAAAAAAAAAACCCAAAACAAAGAGGTGTCTTGCAGGTTCGACAGTCTTTATTTTGCACATATATCTGCAACACTTTCTGGAGATATACTAGACACACACCCCTGTTGAATGTTTGCACCCACTTTTGTTTATTTTTCCCCCTGAAAAATCTCAACAGGATAAACCGTCAAACCACTAGCGGTGACTCTATAAATGCTGGATACTTGGCAACAGGTAATGAGTAGTTGCTTGTTATTGATAGTACTAGTGTAGCCTGTACTACCGGGAACACATCCTACATACTTAGCCCATAAAGATGATTCAGATTCTCTGATTTTGATTAATGAGCTCAGAAGTTGACATAGTTTTACATACCCCTCGGAGGCAATGTGTGCAGTCTCTAGGCTCCAAAGCCACAACACCTCCTGGCACACTTGCACATTGGAATAGATCTCCTATTCCAAAAGCGGTATACAGAATTATGCCTTTGCTCCTTTCAGGTCAGTCGATTATAATTATGGCATCGTCGGGCCACATTCGTAAAAGGATGACAACATTTACATCCTAAAATTGAGGAAGAAAAGATAAATAATTCAAAAAAAGGAAATGTATGAGAATGGAGCTTAAATATGATGAAGAAACAGTCTAAATTTTATAAGTGATGTTAAGTCAAGTATTAAGATATCCTTTATTTGTCCCACAATGGGGAAATTTACAGAAGTACAAGTCAAGTACTACTTTATTGTCAAATGCGCTGTATGTGCAACAAACAGCAATAAGAGGAGCCACTGCGGGTGCCCGTGCCACCATCAAAAGAACAGTTCACATAAAATGACAAAATAATGCAATGCAACACAACACGTAAAACACAGACAGTCGTGCAATCTTAACCACTTTTCCTACATACACTTTGTTGTTTGAAGCAGTTATAGATGAAAGAGGAGCGAATCAAAGTGTCCTTTTCACCGGTGGATCAAAGACGTCATGCTGAAAATGTGCACACGTCTGCTACAAGCTAAGTTTGAAAGCAACAAGAAGCTGTAGCTGCCCATTACAGGCGCAAAACACAATCGCCTCGGTGCTGTCCAGCATCGACAGTCAAATGGCCCCGACCTTCCTCTCAATCAAAATCAGTGGTGGTACACGTGTGCTGCCGAGAAGGCGCAACCACGGAGCATAGATTCTTCTTCTTTGACGAATGTCGTGGCCAGAAATGCTGAAAACAATCCACATCAGGTCCACGCGACGTAACAACAACACCATGTGACAAAACACAAGACAAAAACAAAAAACGCAAGGCCCTTGAAGAGCACTTGCCGACGGCTGCCTACTCGGGGGCCATCTTGGGAAAAAAAAATGTATGTCTCTCTCAGAATAAGATGAGGGGAAAAAAGTAATTTTAGGAAAAAAATATAATTTCTTTTTCTTCTTGGGAGGGGTTAAAGCCTGACGTACTGGAAAATTACAACCTAGCATAGCAACCAACTTTGGATAGCAACACTTACAGATAGCATGATCAGGTGAAAGAATAATTCAAGTTAGCAGCTAATTATAAGATACAAGTTAGCACTGTTAAATGCCATATACCCACTACACTATTTCCACATGATCAAGTCAGGTTTATTTGTCGAGCACAAAAGAGCCTCAAAGGGCTTCACATGCTCACTGTTCACGATGATCAACATCATCCCATAGTCCAAACCACCTCAACGTTGTGATCCTCTCATTAATGTCCAGAGGGCATCTCCCTGCTGTCACAACGGCGCTGTCTTTGAATTTAAATATGTTCCTGCAAGGGATGTGCATCTCTTGAGTAAAGACGATTCAATATGTATCTGCATAACGGGGTGCGATACGATTCAAGACAGTACGTTTTAGTGGAATGATTTGGATCGATTCAATTTACTCACATCTTTTCAATCAAAATTGACTTTCCAATTCAAATTAGTTTTTGTTACGCTCCTAATTCCTTCCTATAATGTTGAGGGAGTTGCTTTAACGTGTGTGGCTTTAACTGGCCTGACATTGCCAATCCAAAATGAGTCACTTGTTGTCCTTTTAATAAATGCAAACAGGACTTCATCTGATTTTCATCAGGATCATGTGACGCTCCGGAATGCCATGTTTTTATGATTCTTTTGTTTGCGCAACAGAAACATCTTTCCCTCCAACTTGGTGTCGGCTGCCTTCCAGTCGGTATGTGCTGCATCTTGCATCCATATAACATTTTAACGAACAAGTTCAAAAAGTTTCCTTGAGTTTGTCAAGCTGACAAAGCAAACGGTCTCTCCTTTGCAGTATGCGACAAGCTACAAGCTGGTGAGCACAAATAGCACAAATGGAGTCCGCAACATAACAGTGGAAAAGGTGCGTAGGGCAACATGATTGTACTCAATAAATTGCTTTTTAAAATTGTTTGAGTGTGTACTGACAGTCTTGTGTATTTCTGCAGGTTCCCATTGGCACTGACCAGGATGGGATGAATATTCTGGGTCTGGTGGTGTTTGCCATTGTGTTCGGTGTGGCTCTGAGGAAGTTGGGGGCGGAAGGCGAGATCTTGATTAAGTTCTTCAACTCATTCAATGAAGCCACCATGGTGCTGGTCTCGTGGATCATGTGGTAAGTAAGGTTTTGGGTTTGACGAGGTGCATCAGGTCTTGGCATGTCTCTACTCGCCATTGACCCTTTTCCATTGGCAAGACCATGTAATATGTCCAATACCTGATTAGCTGGTGTTACAGTGATAAGAGCTCAGCAAAAATAATCATAATAATGATAAATTTAAAAAAAAAACGTCATGACACCTTCCCCTTAACAACCTTTGTTTAATATCCTCTGTCTCTCCCCAGGTATGCCCCTTTCGGTATCATGTTCCTTGTTGCTGGCAAGATTGTTGAGATGGAGGACGTTGGTACATTATTTGCCAGTCTGGGAAAGTATATAGCATGCTGCGTTGTTGGGCACGCCATCCACGGCCTCATTGTGCTGCCCGGCATCTACTTCGTCATTACAAGGAAGAACCCGTTCACCTTCCTATGGGGAATATTCACAGCTCTGGCCACAGCCTTTGGGACAGCCTCCAGGTAATGAACTTGCTCATTCTTAACAGTTGTAGCCAGTGCAGAACAGTGATTCAGTGTTCTCTGTAACGGACAGCAGATTGGGAATGATGCACTCGGTAGTGTAGTTGCTCAAATTCAAACAATTCTCAGTGTGCAGTGTCCCTTTGACCCTGAGTCAGCTGGGATAGGCTGCAAATCCACCCTGTAAACTATGCCTAAATGGAAGTAAGCAGATTAATGAACAGATAGGGCCCAAGGACAAAAGCCTGTGGAACACCACTCCTTGTATAAAATTGGTTGGAAACTAAAGCAGCAAACCAGACCAGGGATTTTGGATTCATGTTTTGTTGTTTTTTTTACACCCTACAATGGTGTACCCTAATATCCCCCCTGCAGCTCCGCCACGCTTCCACTTATGATGAAGTGCGTGGAGGAAAATAACGGCATCTCCAAGCAGATCAGCCGCTTCATCCTTCCCATCGGCGCCACCGTCAACATGGATGGAGCCGCATGCTTTCAGTGCGCAGCTGCCGTTTTCATTGCACAGCTCAACGATTATCCCCTCAACTTCATCCAGATCGTTACCATCCTGTACGTATCCCACATACCCGCAAAAGATTTTGTGATGGTTGTGAATTTTGGAGTTGTTGATGCCTTTCTTCTGCCGCCTACCCAGCGTGACTGCCACAGCATCCAGTGTTGGTGCAGCAGGAATACCCGCTGGCGGGGTGTTGACCTTGGCTATCATCCTGGAGGCAGTCGGTTTGCCCACCAACGATATCTCCCTAATCCTGGCAGTTGACTGGCTTGTGTGAGTATACAACACTGATAGCAGCAGCAGATTTTCCACTCATCAGTGTCTTTTGCGTTTGTCGTTTTTGACACTTTTCCGATGGAAAAAAAAAGGTACTTACAAGATAGTGTGTGTAGTACCTGGTCAGCTGGAGTCTAAGCATGCTGGGGTGATACCAAATGGATGATATCAAACCCGCTGGTCGTCCATTGGTTGAGCAGATTTGCCATGTAATGCACATGACCAATGTTAGCTCACCTGGTATTGTGTCTTGGCTCTGAATGCTCCATTATTTGATTATTTTCCTTCCACTATTTTTTTGTGGAATGTGTCTGTTCTGAAATCCCGACTGTATTGAGGAAATATGTGGTTAATAATTTTTTTTTGGAATAGGCTTTGATAGTATATTTCAATGCCCTCGTATTTAGGAAAAGAGCACTACAGTCACTGATGCACTTTTCAGTCCATAAAACACAAACACAATGAGCACATTCATGCAGGAGCTGCTGTCGGCTTATGTCCAGAAACTCGCATGCCACTCCACAAAGGCCTGCTTCTTAAGATTGACGGTAGTTTCTGTAGATTTTACACTTGAAATATTTTTGTGTGTTTAAATACATTTACAATCAGTTTAAATGTAGCTAAGGAGAACAATTCTTCAAAAAAGAGGCTGAAAGCATTTGATTCCACTTCCAGTTGAAGTTCACTGCAAAACTAAACGTAAAAGAAGAGAATTACATCGTGCATATTGAAAAAAAAAAGTCCCGCTGTGTATGTAGCTTAATTCTAGCCAACAATGCAAAACGCCATAGATGGGATAACGAATATCATTATTGTCACTATGTTACTGTATATCCCCATGAGCGATCAAGTTGTGGTGTACACAGAGAGTAATCGCAGCCAGTATATTCCTTGTGCTTTGCAAAAAATGACTACGATTAACGGATCTGACTGACTTTATTATGAAACTGTTCGTTTGCCTCTATTGCTGTATTAAACTGCCCGCAAGTGGCCAAGGTACACACAGCAGAAGGAGCAGCACAATGTCCAAGTGAACTGAAGCAACAATTGTGACCAAAAACTGTGTAATTATTGCCATTGTGTTCATCATGACTATGTCCTTTGATGAAGTACAATATTTAATATTAAGTAAATATTAAATGTTCAAGACATTTGAACAAGAAAAGTAGGTCTTATGACTCTTGAGTCATACGGTGCTGGTTTCAAAGTCAATAATTAATGAACGGAACAAATGTAAATCAATAGCAAGAACTCTGTACAACATAGGAGGATTTTTAGTACTGTATGTGTACATGCCCTTCAAGAATTGGAACTTTTCAGACGCTGTCTTTCACTCGGTATCGCGACTACATTATGCTTGTTTTCGTGTACAATTCTTAACTGGTTGATGTTAATAATTTTCCCATCTTTGTGATTCAGTGACCGCACATGCACAGTACTGAACGTGGAAGGCGACGCGTTTGGCGCAGGACTCCTGCAGTTTTTCGTGGACCGCACATCCAAACGAGAGGAAAGCACGGACCTGGGCGAGGTCAACAGCATCACGCCCCCGCCTGAACACTCGCCGCTCATTGAGATGAAAGGTGTCGAACAGACGGACAACAGAAGCACCCAGCAGGGCTCTTTGGTCATGTAGTGGAGGTGCGGAGATCACACTACCGTGGAAACTGCTAATAGACACGATGGACCTCTGTCCATCTGAAAACGCTTTGTGGAAGCTGTAGATGTACTTCGTAAAATCGTAAACAGGCGTATTCTGGCATTTGGACAATCCATCAGGGATATATGAATGTTGAAGAGCAATGATTTCCTTTAAGGCAGGGGTGTCAAACTCATTGTTGTCGTCCGAGATTTTAGCAAGCATCATGCAAGTTGACATGCTTGATTTGCTTCCACTGGCCACATAAAATGACATGACGGGCTGGATCTGGCCCCCGGGCCTTGAGTTTGACACCATTGCTTTAAGGTATGTCCCAAATAGTAATTTATTGAAGGTTCTTCTGTTACAATTTACATCTCCTCTCCTTTACTGTCGCGTCGCTGGCCACGCGCAGGATAACCAGCGATGATCACGTTTTAATTGAGCTTAACAAAAAGGGTTATGGCAAATGATCATTGGGAAGGTGCTTTTCTTTTCCATCATCTTCATCCCTAACTGCTGTTTTTGAAAACTTCAAAATGTTTTATTTGTGTGATATGGTGTTTGTACTTAAGCGGTGACCAGGTCTAGCATACGGAGTTTCCATATACGACACTAATAACATTTGGAATATCTGTCCTTTAAAGAGAGAGTTTGCAGTTTTTAGCCTCACTTCACCAATCGCTAGTCTGACCGAAGCTGTGCCTCTCACTGCATGAATGAGCGCCATTCTCAAAGACGGTGATTCATAATGGTTTGAATTATAAAGTAAGTCACACAAAAAATGCTGCCCATCTTCAACAAGCTAGTGTCAAGAAGCCGTGTTAGCTAGCCATGGTTGCTATGTTAGTAGCATGACTTCAAACAAGATAGTGTCAAGAAGCCATGTTAGCTTTTGTAGTGGAGGGGATCTGTCCATTTCCTTCTGGCCCTCCTTGGACACAGGTTCTTTTATTTCTCTATAAGGTGGAAGAAGACCCAACACCACGTCGTCTTTTCTGCAGTTATCACAACACTATATGAATCGATTCGGGTTCCTGAGAGTCTCAGATTTCGTCAGGAAGCAAAGGAAAAATACAGTCTCACGTTTATATAGGCGTAGTATGTTAATGAGGGGCGGGCAGTCCTTCCCCTTATGTAAAAATCCAGACTTCCTCCTGCTGTGCATAAATCCCAAGAAACTTGACAGCCTTGAGGGACTCAGCAGAGATGGGGGTGTGAAAGAAGACACTTGGGGGCTGTTAATCACTCAAAGGGGAATAGGATATAAACTTAACACTACATTCTTTGTTTTAACAGGTGTTCAGGAAAGAGACTGGGATCAATAGTAATCATAGCAAGGCGAAATTCCGCCACATCAGCAACACAGATACTCGAGATAAACATGTCCTCTGGAGAGGTCCTAAAAGTGGTGGGGGTCGAGGGGCACTAAAGGTGATTGTAATCACAGTGAGCAGTAAATACCTTCAACAACATTCTTTGTTTCTTTCAGATACAACTAACAGAGAGGAATAATTCCTTAACACTAGCCATGGTTGCTGTGTTAGTAGCATGACTTCAATACAACTAACAGAGAGAAATAATTCCTTAACACTAGCCATGGTTGCTGTGTTAGTAGCATGACTTCAAACAAGATAGTGTCAAGAAGCCATGTTAGCTAGCCATGGTTGCTATGTTAGTAGCATGGCTTCATAGTAATACAAGGTTACTATTACACTAAATATGTTATTTTAGCAAACAAGGGATGAGAATTAAAATTATTTTACAGAGTTAGATATTCCAAATAGTTCCAGAAAAGATCCTGAATCCCAAGCTAACAGGACAGTCGAGGCCGTGCGGGTCACTGGCATGCCAGTTGAAGGCAAATCTCTTGTCTCTGATGTTTTATTCTTCCTCGGGTGCGCTGGTTGCTAAAACAAACAAACAAACAAAAACCAAAACTGCAATCTCTCCCTTGAAAGGTGAATGCTTGATCCGTTGGACTGTTTAAAATAAGTGATTTTGTTTTTATAGGATGAAAAATTGTCTCAATGTTCTGATCTTTGTTTTGGCCCATAGTGCAGGTCTCAGTGGACATAGCCCATGTTTGACTTATCACTTTTCAGAATTAGGGATACATTTTTTGGCATGTATTTGCATATTGCTCTTATTAAGGCATGGTGTACTCACACACAACAATACTCACCGACAATCACGATTTTTGTCTCACCAAACCAGCTCTTGTACCAAGACTGACCTGTGAGTAGCAGAATGGCCCAACACAAAATAATATAGAACAGACGTTTAGCTAACTGTTAGTGTGAGTTAGCTCAACTGAGCTGAATTTGATCAGACGGGTAGTAAAAATGCTCATATTTGGCCTGATTATCGGTAGGTTGGTACCATGCTTAAGACGACAAAATTGTAGAAGAGTCAATCAACAATATTTCACTTGTCTTCAGTCAAGTAGTGCACTCACTAGTGTCTAAAGATGCATTCGATTTTTTGTTTTGTCCTCGGAACTATCATACAGTCATTTTCCTGTGCATGAGGAAAAAAAGCGAACAATAATGCTAATGCTCTCTTCTATGAGCTAATGTACCAAAGCCAAAACGCACAGTGAATTACAAAAGTCAGATGCCACTATACCTCAGGTTGAACTCTGGCTTGCAGACTGTTCTTTTCTATCTAAGACCAAAAAAAATTCCAGTGAATCACTTGGTGAGATTGCTAAATTTATTCTTTTTTTTTTTTAGCACAAATGTTTTGTTGGCATTATTTATTTAGTTATCTAGCCCAAAGGTTTTACTCAAATTAATCAAATATCCAAAGACTTATTCTTTCGTGTGCCACATCAGAGCTGATTAATTTATATGCTATATAGTAAATATTATTTGCTATAAATACATTTTTAATTAATATGGTAACTTGTCAACAATCCATGTATACAAGGTGCTTCCATTTGGTTCCAGGAACCCCCCACCTCTTGCTTTTTCTCGCGCTCTACTACAAACAAGTTTTACAAGGGAGTGGCAATCTCACAAATTTCGGTCAAATTCACGTGGTTATCTTTGAAAATATCAAATCCATTGACTAATGAACCAGGAACTAAATGAAAGGTCACATTTCTCTTACCTCTTATCTTTATGCTGGTACAAATGTGTGGACGCTATGGGTGCAGCCAATACAAGGAACTACATTGTTTTATATTTTGATGTCTACACATGGGGGGTGTGGGTAATGAAGTATTTTCAGTTGGAAACAATAAAAAGTTTTTTATCATTGATTGGTTTTGTGAAGCATCATTTTTACGGTCCTGCTGTTTCTTTGTAAACTAAACACGTCTGAAGCATATTGCCGTTTATCTGTGAGATTATGTTCCTCCGAAGCTCCCCCCAAAACACTTGCGATGTCTGCCTTAAATCAGAAGCACTGTGCCTACATCCAAGCCCTGCTGTTTATAAATTGAGCAATGATAGGAATGGGATCAGATATATAGTGTGCTGCATCGACAGGTGCAAAGCTACTTATTGGAATTAGGACGCCCTGTGTGCTACTTGGCAGTGACAAAATATACTATCACATCTTATGTGGTACACTCCTACCATAGAATGCGCCACCTTGTGTTCATGAGCAAGTCTAACCACCATTGTACAGTCGAATGGATGGATGATTTATTTATGACAAAAGGGTTGTTTTTTTTCACAAGCACGAGACGCAAACGTTCCTTTGGTATAGTGCACTTATTTTTCTCCATACAAGCATTCCAAACTACCAACAGCAGCAAAGACATTTCAGTTCACCTGGAAACAACAATGTAGTAACAGATTCAAGTGTGCAAAAAAAAAAAACATTTTCTCAATAAAATCAGTGCAAACCAAGGCAATGAGTGATATGAATCCACATAAAAAGGCATGTAAGGGTGAAACATACTTACTCTTACTTATTGTACAGTAATCAATAGTGAAAATGTACACCATATAATTTTTACACTGTAGTACAACATCCACATTTACAACACATATTGTAAAATACATATTTGCTAAAACAGTCATTCTGATTCTCATTACATCACTTAGTTCGTTTCATCCATTATCCTGAACCGCTTCTCCTCACAAGGGTTGCGGGCGAGCAGTAGGCAGGGTATACCTTACAGTGGTTGTCGCTGGTCATGCTTACATGAACAACCACTTGCACCTAAGGACAATCTAGACTCTAGATTCTAGAGTGTTCAATTAAACTACAGTGCATGTTTTTGAAATGTGGGAGAAAACCCACGCAAGTCACGGGGAGAACACGCAAACTCCGCACTGGAAGGCCAGAGGGTGGATTCAAACCCCAGACTTCTGTACTGCGAGGCAGATGTGCTGACTAGTCGTCTACCGTGCCGCCCACTGTCGCTTTTATCCAGAGGTGGGCGTTCCGTCAGACTGATGCAAGGTCCGTCAGTCTGTCACTGTTTCTGTTAGTATTTCATACCAACTCATGGCAGTCAGTCTCTTGTGGGCGACAGCCAATTGATGTTGAGAAATTAATTTCCACATTACACACAGGCACGCAGCCAAATAAAGAAAAAATAAATAAAAACAGACACATTGAGGTCTGTGGGACGGAAAGGTATAAAAACGTTTTTTTTTTTTTTTTTTTGTAATTTTTCTGTGTGTCAGGTGCACGGCACCTGCCTGTTTATATAGTACCGGTAAGTCCGTTCTCTATGACGTATGGCTGTTGCTGACGACTTGGACTGACTGAGCCGGCCTGAAATACTGACGACAGCTCATTGACGGACTCACCGGACTGACAATGTCCACCTTGGCTTTTATCTAAAGCTAAATTCATCAGTTCTTGCTTTTTGGCATGTTTTTGGACTCTGTTGTAAAGATGAACAAATACTGGTTGACAAAATATTGTAAAACAGTCAAATGTCTGTAATTCACATCCTTGTTGTAAACATTAAGGGACCAAAAAATAAGTTCTTATTCATTATATCATCCCTTTTAACAAACTGAAAAAAAAAAATGGTGAGAAAATTGGACATTCGTCTGTCTCCCTTTGTTCGTGTATCTATTCTGTATGTGTCCGTAACCGACCAGTACCAAACTTGACCATTCTCAGAACATCCCAAAGGTATGAAACGTGTGTCAAGTGGCCTGAAGCTTGGCACCTAAGAGTGTCTATCTACTACCTTTTAAATGGCCTGGGCTGTCACTTACATAGCACTCTTCTACCTTAGGTACTCAAAACACTTCCTGTTTACCTACTGATGACGCAACATCAGGAGCAACTGGGGGTTCAGTACCTTGCTCAAGGACACGTCGACAACGTCACAATGGCTGGGTATTGAACCCCCAACCTCGGGGTTGGGAGACGACCACTCTACCGATGAGCCATGCCAAACATACAAATATGCTTTCATAATTTGGCCCGGTCCAGCCTTTTCTTGGCAGGGTTTGGGTACTGGGGGTTCTCGACAACCCCTTCTCCGAACTTGAGCTCCAAGAAGGCGCGGTGGTTATTCGGACCGTAGGCATTGATGCCCGCAAAGGGCATGGGCACAAGCGGCTGCAGGAAGTGCTCAGGAAACTCCATGTCCTGCTTGTGCTCGGTCCACGTATCTTTGGTCATGACGCCATTACGCGGGTAGAAAGGCCACAGGTCCACGTGCAGGTGGTTGGCCTCGCTGTACTGCACCCTGTAGAAGTCGCCCTCCACCGCACGTTCCCACACGTAGCCATTGGCGTCCACCAGCGAGCCAGAATCCAGGTTCTTCAAGTGATCGCAGTTGGGCACGTCCTCGAGGTAGATTCCCAGGTCCACGTCGTAATCCCACGGGATGATGTCCTGGTGGCGGACGGCGCCTAGCAAAGTCCCGCCTTCGAGCCAGTAGCGCACTCCAGAGCTCTCCAGAATGTTGATGACGTATTTGGTGGTTTCTCGAAGTGCGCGCAGGCAGCACGGAGGCGTCCAACGATCCAGATAGAGGTAGTCCGGCGTGTCGTCCTTCACCGTGCCGAAGCAGCGGGGTGTCTCCTTGCTGCAGCCATGCCACTGCTCCTTCCCATCTGGCAACAGGAGACGCTTCAGACCGAAGCTCCTCATCAGCTTGCCCGTGGACTCCTTCAGGCGAGTGTCCGCTTTCCACTGGTTGTGAGCTGAGCTGAAGAGGGGCCGGTGGTTGGCTGAAAAACACGGGCTCTCCAGAAGCTTCACCTTCCAGCCCCTCAAAGTGGTCTGGATGAAGAGCGAGGGGAAGAGGGGCCGGCCGAGCGGCACCGAGAGATTAAAGAGATCCTCCGTGCGGATGAGCACCACGGCATCGCCATGCAAGGCCGTACAAACGCTGCCACTGCTCCCAGACGCGGCGGTAGAATAAGTGGCGGTCCACTCGCGGAGGTTCACCCTCAGGTGGAGACACTGCACGGCGGATCGAGCCAGAACGGGTGAAGCCACCAGCCTCACAGGACCACCGCCCTCACCTTCCAGCTCTTTAATCAGCCTCTCAATAGCTCGAGATGGCTCCAACTCTACACCGTCCGGTACGAGAAGCACAAAGTCCGTCTGGACGTGAAACTCAGGCCTGTGTGCTTGCGGTGGCTGGTCTGGGCTTGGGGAGAGCACCAGCATGCGGCAGCCATCGGGAAGCTCCAGAGGCGGGTACGGAGGCGTGTCAGCCACAACCAGGAAGGGAAGCTCAGGTCTTTGTCTCAGGAAGGAATTAGCGACATCCCCGACGTAATTCTCAAAGTTTTCAAACTCGCGGAGGAGCACAGTCACGCGTGGGCTACGATTATTATTTGACACGCCGGCAAGTCCGGGCTCACCTCTCGGCCCGAGTAATCCGGCTATGCCTCCCCCCAGAGCGGAGGCGGGTAAAGCAGCTTTCCTGGTGGCCCTGCCATGTTCCTTCCTCTTCTCCATCATTTGCTGCTGTGCCCGAGACACATAGTAAAGGATAAGGAGGTTGAGGATGATGGCCCCAGTTAACACACCTTGGCATAAAGTGATCCGCATGGCTACAAGGGACTGTTTGAAAGACCTCAACCCTCAGGTTCCCATTGGTGTCACAGGACAGGGCTGGAACAGAGAAGAAAATCATTTGTACTATGTTTTCAAGGGCGCTTGGCCTCATAAGTGTTGAGGATTTAAGATGGAGCCAAGATTTGAACCTGCACCCCTCGTCAGAAGGAACTTTTTTGTCTTCTTGTTTTTTTTTTTTTTTTTTTAATGTAATCTTATATGATGAAGGCATGCTGCAAAGGTGACCCATCTCATGTTGTAACATTCTGCATGATTGCATTGTCAGTTGTCACTCTTGGCAAGTATTGGGACACCACTGGAGTCCAGCCGCTTATTTCACATATCTTCTCTACGTTTTTTTCTTTTCTTCTCTTCTCTTTGATGTTTGCTGTGCTGACCTGCCTGCTCATTTGCACACACATTCCAGCAGACAATTTAATGCAGTGAGTCTCAAAGTGTGGTGGTGTGCAGTCTACATCTTGTGGTATGCAAAAGAATCATCAGCTAAAAACACTACAGTTGTATTTAACTTTTTGCACATTACACTTTTATATATTTTCACAAATCCATACAATTGATCAATGCCCACTTCGGTAGAGAATTTATTTCTTCACAAATTGTTAAAATGCCCTGCACTCTGACGATGCAATGTTAATGGCTCAACAAGCCTGCCTTGTTTGTTTTTTGTTGACTGAAACGTCATGTTTTGGAGATGTGAGGTTTCTGCCCGACGGCGGCAATTGTGTTTTTTTTAATTGTAATATATTCTTATAATTTCACCTCACGTGACAGATAGGTTCTAATTAAACAAATTATTTCATTATTAAATGGAAAAATCCTCCGATGCAATACTTGAGTCTTCACATAGGTTTATTATCATTTTCACTGTCATAACTCACCAACAGTTGAATGCAGTCATTATTTCTTTGCACAAATTTGTAGATCGCCTGTCAATTCATCGTGACTTGAATCAGCTTCACACGAGCACTACATTTGGTCCTCCGGTTGGGTCACAGCTCTGTAATTTTGCTTTTTTGCGTAACGTGGCAGGGGCGAGGGTGTCAGTTAAATGGCATTCAAACTACATCTTGTCCGGACATGGCTAAACGTATTTTAGCATCTGTGCATGGGGCTACGTAGAGGAAGTGGAAACAGACTGAAAGCAGCTGTCCAGTGTTTAGCCTTAGCTAAAAGGCTAGCTTTCAAACGTCAGCATCGCCACACAGACAACGTAATCGCTTCCGGTTTTTGCAATTCAAAATATAAGTTAGGACCTAAATGAAATTGACCGCTCAAACTAGCATAGTGTTAAAATGGCGTAATCTATATTCAATTTGGATATTGGATTAATAAAAACTTGAAGCCTCAAAACCGGAAATCAAATTGTGTGTTAGTAGTACAAACTTCACCAACAAAACATTCCTCGCTTAATGAAATGGCAGGAAACGATCTCGATGGGCGACGCACTCGTTGTGTATTACAAAAAGTCTGGCCCAATATTTGTCCCTTACAGTTGGGTATTTCCAGTAGCAAACACACGATAGTGGAAACAGATTAAGGATTATCAAAATAAGAGTCGGATTAAAATGTTTACATTTCATATGGGAATAATTCAAAGCTGTGCTTAGTCTGAAGTTAATTAAAGGCACAGAATAAAGTATTATGATGAAATTGGTGCTCTCACGACCTAAAAATACACTTGTGTGACTAATAAGCGATTCAAATGTGTTTTATCGTGACGGTTAAAAAGCGGATGTGTAGTATTTTACCGACGGCATAGTAATTTTGCTCCGTGCGTGTGAGAAAGGGAAGAAAGGAGGTAGCCAACAACGAAGTGCGGTTGCGTTGCAAGGAGGGCACTGGCGATTTATCATTGTTATTGTTTGTACACTTCGCCCGTTTCCCCGTTTTTAACCTGGCGCAGGGTTGAACGGTTAAAATGGAGGCGGACAGATCCGGCGGAGGACCAAACCCGAACTTTGGAGGCGGCAGCGGCGGAGTGGGGCGCAACCCAAACGGGCCCAAAGCAGCAGCACCGGGGCAGTCAACACCAGTAGCCGCTACTGGGGGTATGGCAGCAGCAGCCGCGGCGGCGGCTGCGGCGGCGGCGGTCGGGGCCATGCCCGGATCGGCACACCTCCGCGAATCACAGCAGGACGCCGATTCGGGAATGACTCTTCCCGGGATCCTGCACTTCATCCAGTACGAGTGGGGACGCTTCCAGGCCGAGAAATACCGCTGGGAGGCGGAAAGAGACGAACTTCGTGTAAGTGTTTTTATTATTTACCCCCCGCATTTAGACTGTTGACATGAATTGAACCATACTACACTATAACACTAATTCTACCTTTTTGCCGCTGTTTTGGGAAACAATACAGTACAATATCCTCTACACTCAGTCAATCAGATCACTACATGCTAAAAGGCTAACGTTAATCTGAGCTGCTGCCCCACCGTGATTTAGGCAATAAAACTCTGCATAAAGGGCCTCTTCGAGTGATATAAATCATTTCCCCACAAAACAAATATAATCTGGCAGTCTCCCTGTCAAACATTCACAAATCCAATAGGATGACAGTCTGAATGTGCACAATCACTGAACCCTGCAAAATAACAGAGTACTTTGGGTATGTACAGGCGTGTTTAAAAGTATTGAAATGGCAAGGTCAGTTTCATTTTTTTTTTGTTTTGTACTGAATACATTTTGGTTTCGGATCACAAGATGAATATGAAACTAAAGGTCAGAAGTCCAACTTCAATTTCATCCATCCATCCATCCATCCTTTTTCAACACTGCTTATCCGGAACAGGGTTGCAGGGAGTTGCTTTAGCCTATCCCAGCTGATTTCAGGCAGAAGGCAGACTACACCCTGAATTGGTCGCCAGGCACATATAGAGACAAGCAACCATTCACATCCATCACATCCACACTGTCACTGAGTGGGAATTGATCCCACGCTGCCTGCACACAAGTCAGGTGAGTGTACCACTATACCGTCAGCAACTACTTTTATTTTGATGTTGTCAACAACTCAGGACAGAGCACCACTTGTTTGTAGCCACCCACTTTTCAAATGAACAGAAAAAAAACATGTGACTAATGACTTTTTGTAGTTGCCTTTTAGATTTGGTTGCTGAAGCGTTAGATAGTGTTTGTTTTTGGCTTGGAGTTTCACCTGTGAAAACTGCATTTGCTATACTGTATCACGATCCACTGTTCAAAGGACACTTTGTGAGAAGAAATATACCTCATCAGCAAAAAGAATCAGAAGGCCAGATTGGATTTTGCAAAGAAATACAGAGATGAGCCACAACGTTTTGGAACAAATTTTGCTGGACTGATGAGACCGAGATGACCCTCTACCAAAGTGATGAAAAGGCCAAAGTATGGAGAAAGAGAGCATCTGCTTATGACTTAAAACATAAAAGCTGTGAAGCATGGCGGAGGTAATGGCATTGTGTACCTGCTTCTGGAACATGCTCGTCTTTATTCGATGTAACTTGTGATGGTAGCAGAAGAATGAATTATGAAGTCTACAAAACTGTTTTGTCTGGCAACTTACAGAACAAGGTATAAAACTAATCAGGGGAAGCTTGATCAAACAGATGTGTGTTTTGGGTCATTGCCCTTCCAAGACTTCAACAGAGGAAAAAATCAGAAGGTCTTAGACTGGCCATGTTAGTCACCAGACCTTAACCCGATAGAAAATGCGTTTCACCTCCTGAAGAGGAGACTAATTGGAGAAACGCTCAGAAACAAACAAAAAAACAAACAAAAAAAACCTTTCAGTCGGAAAAAGAAATGCTCAATAGGTCCCAGGTATGACACAAATGGTGTGTGGGTGAATCAGAGCATTGCACAAACCACACAGAGACTGTGCGATATATTTGAATCAATTTTTCTTGCCTTATTCTGATGCTCTTCATAAATATAATACAACCGGAACTTGTGACAGCACATTGTTACTTAACACTTTTACTCACCCTGCTTGGATGCCCTCCACTCCTATCTTGGTGGGTATAAATAGAAGCTTGATAAAATATGGATGAACAATAATGCTGCGCTCGACGCCCTTATGGACGCCGTCGTGAGAATAGCCCTCAGAAACAGGCCATCGCCATGACCAACCGGGCCTGTCATGGAATTTTTAATGCCGTTTTCTCCAGCGGTGTTCATGGGTACAATTAGCGCTATCCTCTGTGAGCACAGGCAGAGATGACCTCGCTTCCATTTAATCACCCCTATGGCCACACGCCTATGGTTTCGGAGCACTCAACATGCTAGTTAGCGTGCCCCACCCCCCGGCCTTTTGTACTTACCAACATACGTTGGCTCACGTCAGCTGCACTTAACATTAATGCCTTGTAAAATACAAATGTTGGCTTCCTGTTTTATGCCAGCGCCATCGATCATCTTACGGCGGCGTGACTACTCGTGGGAAGTTGTTTTTTGTGTCCATGACAGGAAAACTCTGTGCCTTTTTTTTTTTTTTTTTTCTTTCCTCATGTGGAAGGCCACCTGTGGTTGCATGTCTTCTCTGTCAAGGCAGGAATGACGGCACCCCCTCTCTAGTGGACCAGGTGGGACATCCCAGAGGAGACAGGTGGTAGTGGCCTCGTTCTTCTGTCCCACTGATACACAAGAAGCCTTTGCCAAACTTGTCAGATTTTGGCTTTCATCAAAGATCATCTGACTGGAGTGAAGAAAAATTTAGCGACTGCTAAAGCTATTTCACTTACACAAACTGGAGGAGATGAGGAAACATGGCTTGGACTACAAATTACCCTGAAAATGAAGGCGCTCAAAGTTCATTTAGTTCAGCAGTTCGGGAGCATTTTGGCTACCATGTTGAGAACAAAGCTGGAAATCGATAAGGCCCAGACTACCGGTATATGCCATATGTGCTTCCAAAAAACTCAAAATGATAGACATCTTGCACATATGCTTATAACTTTGCAGACTTCAAATTGGCCCCGATTCAGATTCAAAATCTGGATTTTTGCATTGCATGCCCAGCTCAAGTTAATACACAAGCAAACTGAAGGGAGCCGCTGCCTTTTTCTTTTGCGAGATGTGTTTTCTATTTACGTTAATGCAAGCGACGAATAGATTTCTGGAGGCCCATAGGATTCCTGTTCCTGTTTAGCTTGGCTCAGGGGATCCCTGGATGCACATCAGTAATTCATAGGATTGTGCTTTCAGCAATGACACACATACGATATCCAGACGTACTACGCAATTTATGGCGTGCGCCTTCCTTCTGCGCTCCTCTTCCGTATGTTTATTTACATGCGCCCCTCTACAAGTCTTATTGTGGATGATTCCCATCTTATTACGAACTAATACTACACATACACTCCAGTGAAGCACAGTGGCCCAGAAAAGTTCAGCGCTGTATTTTTTTTTTGGGATGCTCTCTCGGGATGCAAGGATGAGTGGATGAGGAGATGGAGCGTGGCCAGTGGAGGAGGAATTCTGCCCTTGACCCCCTTTTTTTTTTTTGCTTTGGCCTTCTTCAAACCTTGTTCAGGCCATCAGCAGCAGCAGGGCATCACGTGGAAGAAATCCCGCCCACAGGAAGGAGAGATCAGGTGGCACGATGGCTTTGCTTGCATCGCCGCTCCTTTGTATTTGAGTCTTTTGTTTGTTTTACCCTCATGACACAAAAGAAATGACTCGAGGCTCAAGCCAGTTTGGATTCGATGACTTCCAAAGTGCAAAGAGGTCATATTCTACCTGCTGTTTCTGCTGGTTAACTTTAAAAGTCCCAGTGAATATGTTCTTTTGCAAATGTGTTAATCACCTTTGTTTCTCAACCCCCCCTCCCCCACTCCCACTTTTTAATTTTATTTTGAAGGATCAGTGCTTCGTTTCTTCTTACCGTCCAATGAATCATCCATGACCTGGCACGTGTTCCACACATTAACAAGAACAGGCACGTCCCAATCTGAAACCAAAATCTGGGCATAGGCGTAGAAGGAAAGAACAGGATGATGTCTTTTCATTGCCATATCATGACATTCCGTAATAAGCATGTTGTGGTTTTCTGGAGTTATGGTGCTCAAGATATCTAAATGTGTATTGAATATGTGTGAAAATTACGTCTCTTTCCCTCTCAAGATAAGCCATTGTTGTTGTTTTTTCTGTCGTTTGCCAGCCTCACTACAACCTCATTACGCGCTAAGGTGCCGGGTTCTGAGCCCCTTGGGGTCCTTCAAAGGGTGTGGTTTGAACTCGTAGCGCTGTGTGCGCACGCAGGTGTCGGCTTGTTTTTTTTTTTCTTTTTATTTTTTCTCGGCAGGTATGAGTTCATGGATTGGTCTCAAAAAATGGATGAATCCCACATTGGAAGTTATGCAAATCAATTTGTTTTGCAAAATATATTGGGGCCTGCCTTTAGTTGAGCAAGCGTGTGTTTTTAATCTGTTTTTCTCGGTTGTTTCATTTCATCCGTTCATTTATTTTACTTCAGGTTGCCTGCTGATATTTGACTACTTGCTGCCACCGAGTTATGATATTTGATCGAATGCCATTATGTCTTGCAATTGTGCTAAAATTAGAGACATCCAGGAGTCCAAGTAAATTGATATAAGTATCTGACGATACAGAGTCCCAATGCAATACCTCTGCAAGGCATTGGGAGACCACATCCAAATGTCTCAATTGTCGCCGGCTAAAAGTGTTCGTCCCCGTGTTTACCTTGAAATAGCTCAACAAGGCTCCTACCTAAGGTACTGTATATATCAGGCCGTTGAGGTGGTATTGGTTTGCACTTTCACTGCATCGTTATGATTAGGAGTCCCATACATACATGCAGTATCTGCACCAGTATAGATACTGGTATTGGTAGCATGACTAGTTTATGGGAGGTGGGCACTCCACACAAGAATTGTGAGGCAGACGTACTAACCATTAAATGCTAACCCTGTGCTAACCGTTGTCACCTTGCTGCTCTGTTGCTGAATTTGTTCGGAATTATTTTGACGTGTTATTTAATGAAATGAATCTGTTATTAAATATTTTCAAAATTACAACTTTTTTTTTTTTTTTTTTTTTTTTTGCTAAACGATCTCGTGGGATGACACCAGTTAGGTTCATGGTTTTACAATTTACCGGTAGTTCTCTTGTAATTCAGCACAACATTTGTATCTCTGTCAGTCAGCCATTGTAGAACCCGTTTACTGACTAATTTGAATATGGAAGAACATCTCATGATTTTGCCATTTTTCCTACAAATTGCCTCATCGTTGTGCTTTGGTGCATTTGGAAATGCTCATCTAGCCGAGCTGCTATCATCGACCACAGCATTTAATAATGTACTCTAGGATCTTAGGTAATACCCCAAGGACATGTCTGGCCTAAAACAAATAAATAGGTATCTGTGTATGATCACGTTGCCAGTGTTTACGAGCTGGCTTAGACAATTATCTCCAAAAGTCTGCAATAAGCAGAGAAAATCACATTGCATTAAATGGGATTACTCTGCAGCCACATCAGTGAGTTTGGTTGGCAGATTCTACAATCGGCCTCCTAGTTTGTTACATGACTCTGTGTGTGTGTGTGTGTGTGTGTGTGTGTGTGTGTGTGTGTGTGTGTGTGTGTGTGTGTGTAGTGCAGCGCGATTTACTGCCCTCTCAAGTAGACCAAGTGGTTGTCTCATGAGACCATGTTTTGAGATTGTTCTACTTCGTCCAGGAGTGACTGTGCATGTGGGGGCAGGGGAGGGCCTCTAAATGTGTTTATTCTAAGCATGGGCACAAACACAACACTACTGTGCATGCCTACCTGCTCGCACTTGCTTTCTGTGGCTCCTTAATCTTCTGGAGGACGATGTGTCGTCCGTGATTAGAGATGCATCATCATGAGCTTCACTCGCATTCTATGGAGGGCAGACATGCACCAAGGCCAATCGTACACCTTCATGGATACTTTCTGCATATGCCTGAAATGACATTTTACGATGACTCCATTAGTTGCTCAGACAGTGAGGGAAATGTTGAAATACCTCAAATTGTTACCAAAAAAAAAAAAAAGACATCATGGAGCAAACCACCAACCAAATTGTGCAGGTTATTTATTACTGTATTTGGAACATAACTCACTCATCCATAAAATTTGTTGAAAGAAATGCTCTTTATAGGTCCAATTGCGTACTTTGGTAACCAAACTTCAGATTTCAACATAGGCCGAAAGCTACATCTCTTTCTTCAATTATTATGATTATTTTTTTAACGATTCAGTGTCAGCCAATACTAATGTTATCCGCTACACTTGAGTTGATTGTAACGTAACCTGTATTTTCATGTTATATTATGCAGTATGGTAAACGAGTGGTGGAGGGTGTCTGGTGGGATAAATCTATGGTATTCGTGTTCTCAATTCCCCGACTCTTGATATTTTAAAAATTTTATTGTTAAGTTCAGTTTGCGGTTAACTTTGTACAGTATTCCATCCGGCCTTTTTTTATTGGTTGACACATGTTGGGATGGTGACCACTTTTTTCTCTCAAGGTAAGTTTTTTTTTTTTTAATCTGCTCCCTGAGGAAGGAAATTGACGGAAAAAGAGAAAGGAAGCGCATAAAGGAAGGATGTGTCCTAAACGTGCACAGCCATTTGAATCTGGCCGGTGTTTCTTGTTTTCCCCTCTCGCGCAGCTGCGCACTGAGGGCTTGGTTAGGACAAGTTTAAAAATAAAAGCTGTCTTCCACAACCCTCTACTTAACATATACTCACTCAGTTCTCATAAGTCTCCTTTGGCAACCTTGTCATCTTTTTGTGTTTGATCATGGCCTCTTCGCAGTTATCAAATACTACACTGAAAAATAACTGACGCAGTGCTTATTTTTTAATAGCAGCAGTACTCATGTCCCCCCCCCTCCTTCCTTTATTTAGAAAATATTACATTGCAATGTCAAGTGTAATGAATCTGTTTCTAACCCAAAAACCAACCACAATTTAATTATGTGTTTTTGATCAAAGGAAAATGCAAATCGCTGTAGAGTATATGTGAAACCATAATGAAAGAAAGAAAAGAAATGAAGTGGTCTTAGGAAGTGTAATTAAGCTGGAGGGCACGCACGCTCACACACTCACGTCATTGCTTGCAAGAAGAGGCCAAAAACTGTCTGAGCAATGGCTCATGTCGAAACAAACTCTTAAGTCTGTGTGTGCCCTCCTAAGTCTAGACACAATTCTGTTGTTGAATTAATAACTCTTGAGTGAATAAATCAAAACTGAGCGCATTATTATTTTTATAATGGCAGAGTTTTTGATACACCTCTTGCAATGGATCTCATGTGATTCAATTCATTCAATTGTATCGAAAATGTGTGTAAATGTACGCTGCGCCTGCTGCGACAAGTCGCCTAATGTGTTCCTGTGTGTTTTCAGGCTCAGGTAGCATTCCTGCAAGGTGAGCGGAAAGGACAAGAGAACATGAAACAGGACCTAGTAAGGCGGATTAAAATGTTGGAATATGCCCTCAAACAAGAAAGGTAAGACGGGCTGCCAGAGAAGTCCAAGTTCACTCTGTTTCACACAGTTTACTGCCCTAGTCTACTTTCAGAGCGTGATTTACACACAAGCTTGCCAATGATCCTCTTGTAATGGGGCCCCCTTGTGGTATTGCGCCATGTGTGCAGGTCTAAACACCAGAAGCTGAAGACAGGAAATGACCTGAGTTCGGGTGACAAGAAACCAGAGATGGAAGCAGAACCCAGTATGTTTGCATCCTTATCTCCTCTGCTATTTTTAAATCATCCTCCTCGTCTGTTGTTGCATCCTCCATTGCTGCTGCAATGTTGTCCCTGTTCTTCCAACCACCTCCTTCATTTATCCTTACAATCTCTGCAGTTCCCAATGGCCCGGCTGAGGCAGATTCCGAGCCAGCCAATCAGATGTCGTGGAAGGAGGGACGTCAGCTACTACGCAAGTAAGTTTGGTGTCATCACACCATCTCATCTCATTCATTTATATCAGCCATCATTGGTAACGTTCCGTTGTTATGAATGCTGAGAGTAGCATTTACGTCAATGGTGTGGGTGTTTGGTTTGTCACATTGGGTGCCAAATAGCAAAAGAAAAAAATATATAGCAGAAGTAATAGTGGTGACTTTTTAAAGTTAGGAACCCCCCCTGAGTCCAACTGTGTGGTGTGCTGGCCAATATGTCCAGCGATTCAACTCCGCTTTTGTTTTGAACATGTTTACCAGTGACCCTGAGGAGATGGAAGGTTTGTACATTCTGCAAGGCGATTTCACTATGGCAACAACGGAATTGACGATGGTAGCCTGTCCGCCCCCCCCCCGCCCGCTCTTTCTTAACCCCCACCGTCCCCCTGCTCGGCTTCCCGGCACAGCCGTGTAAGTCTGTGTACGCGGATTTTCAAAAAAATTATCGATCTGTGATCCTGTTGTCCCCACTGTTTATACATACAAGTACAAGCTATTTCGAGGTGTCAAAATTACTCCATTATCAAATTAATCTACAACGATTTGGAGAATCGATTCATCGTTTATAGCTATTGCTTGACCTAAAATTGTCCGGACCCTATGATTAAACAATGGCTTATAAATTGCTGAACAAAATAGTTGTCGATTGATTTGATGATCGATTAATTGTCAATTAATCGATTGTCAACTCTGGTAAGCAGGAAGTGTCAAAAGTTACCAAACTGGCTTGTGATGGGCCTCCCTTCATATTGATGTTGCTTTTTGATTCTTGATTTAAAACAAAAAAATGGCTTCCGACGTTTCAAAAAAAATATTTTGGGAAAGGCTGCTTGGTGCAATTGTGATTTGAGGTGACAAAATGGTGTTGCCATCTTTAAATTAATTCACATGATGAAAAAGAAGAATGAAGCCTTACCTTAGAGTCCTCCTCCTGGACATTCAGGCTGGCACCATATTTTAAAGCTTGCCTATCAATCTTTAAACAAATCTGTGCAATTTGGACTTTAAAGATGACATCACAGACACAAAGCTAAGTGAAAATGATGCCATTGTCACGCCAACAGATCACACCATTGCCCATTCTTCAGCTAAATGCTCCTTCTGGTATCATATTTGACAGTAGGTGTATTGTTATGATGTTCTGTGATGTATTTATTTCTTGCTGCGTTTCTGATAGCTATCTGTTTCCTGTGAACATAGATATCTAGAGGAAGTGGGCTACTCGGACACCATACTTGATATGCGTTCGAAGCGAGTGCGATCCCTGCTCGGGCGGAGCAGCCCTGAGGCCAACGGGCCTCCGCCACCCGAATCCTCGCCGGAGCCTGAGACGCGGGCAGCTGGCGAATCCTTGTTGGTCAGACAGATCGAAGAGCAAATTAAGAGGTAAGCCTAAAGAGGAAGATGCTTATGCCTCGGCGTACAAGATGTTTTCCTCTTTTCACTGGTATTGAGCTGTTCAGCTCAGTCTGATGATGATGAAGTTCTAAACACCCACAATAATAAACATTGTTCTAACCTTTCTGACAGTGTCAATTAAAACCAAATTGAATCTGAATATTTGTTTCGGATCTCATTGCGAAGTGTCCAGTCAGTGTGCTATGGAGAGGCTGACTAATTTATCCATTGGTAGGAATGCAGGCAAAGAAAGCTCCAAGGAACGTCTCGGTGGCTCGGTGCTTGATAAGATCCCCTTCCTGCACGGATGTGAGGATGATGATGAGGATGACAGTGACGAGGAAGACGACTTCCAAGGCATGGCAACAGACTGCATCGATGGCCCTCGCAAGAGCAAAAAGTCTCGAGTAAAGGTGCGATCACACTTTCGATTTGGAAGTTAAGTAATAATATCGGCATCCACTTAAAAGTAATATTTTGACAACAATAAACAATTCTTTGCCTTTCACATCTCAATATGCCGGCCATGTCTGCTAAAATTAGCTACATCCCTAGCCGAGAAAATATTCAACTAGTTATATACAGGTGCAATTTTTTACATGTCAACCACAGTTTTATTTCAGTTGGTTAACTCAAAAAGTGACACTTCATACGGATCCATTAAACACACAGGAAAAAAACTTTTGCAAAGGCCAATTCCTACCGAAATTGTATTTAAAAATCATTTGATTGTTTCTTATGTAATCAGATTTCTTTAGATGGTGAATATAAAATCAAAATTAAGAAAAAAGTGATTAAACACTTAAATGTATGCTATAAATCTTATGTATGCTATAAAGTTTCTCTTTTTTAATTGCACATTGAGCTGCCTGCAACACACTAGAGAAAAACTTAGCTTGAGAAAAACTTAGAGACTGTTAGCTTGCTGTGTGTGGTTAGTTTTCTGCCTCACAAGGCCTTGAGATTCATATTTAACATGTTTAATTTTTTGCCCGGCAGAGCGAAAGAATTTGCACATGCCAATTGAGCTATATGCTGAGGGCAGAAATTCTGGCGGCCAATCAAAACGCATCCTCCGTTCACTTGATTTCAAGACCATGGCCTGTCAGGGGCTCCATTTGAATGTATAAAATGGGCAGTATGTGGCCATATTAAACATGGTGTTACCGTATGAATGACCCGCAACCGTAATGCTAACGTAAAGGGAAAACCGCACTGATAGTCACAGATTAAAACCTATTAAGCGACAAATAATATCTACTCTCTTGACTGATGATATAACATTACTCACATGCATATATTCTTTATCCTCTCTGAAAAAAGCCTAATACAGCACATTATCGAGTCACTTAAAATATAAGTGTACAAGTACAGTCTATTAATCGTTTGTCTGCTTGACTGTATTATACTGCCTCCTGGTGGGCAAACGTGGAAAAGATTTTAGACAATTAATTGAATTGCAGCATTAAGTCATGATGTGCCAATTGCATTCTTTATATTCTTAACATTGCAGTTGATTATGTTAATATGCTATGATTTTTCTAAAATACAAAATAATTGTGCAATTTTCCCTCATTTAGAAAAAAAAAGTGTTTTAGTGGGGGGGCTGAAATGGATTGATGGCATTTCCTTCAGTGGTTATGAAGCATATTAAACCTGTATCTTAAGGCAGCACTGCATTATTTTAACCAAAATAATCAAACGGCAATAGTCAAACTTTTTGTTCTTTATGTCCAAACATCTTATTACATGTAATCACATGTAATCTTTTTGGGGGTGTGGGGGGAATTCTTACTTTTTTTTCCCTTCAGATTGGTTCGGAGTCTATGACCACAGACCTGGACCCCGACGACGAGGAGGATGAGGATGACTCAGAAGACGCCCTCAGTGAATTTGACTTTCTGGGCTCCGGGGAGGATGGGGAGGGGGCGGGAGAGGCCAGGATCTCTGGGGACGGACGGGAGTTAGGTATGCAGCTACCATAGCAAACCATCACTTCCAACTTCCCTGCCACCGTTGTATCTCTCTTTCCTGACACCCCCTGCCCCATTTTCCCACATGCTCACTTTTTTTGAGTTACTTCTCATTATGTTTCCACATCTCTTCTTGTCAATAAAACCAACCTCTTTCCCCAACTGCCTGTCTCTTTGTCTCTGTCTGTGACTCCTAGCACTGTGTCGCTGTCATCTGTCTCTAGATGTTTTCTCTCTCTGTCTCTCTTTCGCTCTCTCACTCTTTTTCTCTTTTTTCTGATTCTTATTCTCTCTCCTGGGGTGATTTCATCATGAGTATCATGATGTGCAAGTATCATGCATGCAGCCTTTACATGTCCACGTTGTCTCCCGCACATGAATCCATATTTGAAAGAATGAAGTCTGTATCTTTTGGTCTACGTTTGGCCTTCAAAATCATCTTCCATCTCTCCGCATGACTGGATATGTTGTGTGTCTTTCCTGTCGCCGGGTTCAGAGAACCGCAGGAACAAGTTACAAGGCATGATGTCGGACTTCCCCGCAAAACCTGCTCCGCCCCCCTCTTTATCGGGACAAACTCGCTCGGGCGAAGGTAAGACTTCCCCTCAGAAAAAAAAGGCGAGTTCGGCTTCTCAGTCTTCCACATGCATGCTTGAAGTTTTGAACCCCAAATAAGATGCGGTGGGGTAGAGTTTCTTCTCCACCCAAAAATAAATTATTCCAGTATGCCAGCTCGAAGAAGGGTAACAGGATCCTGGTATAGACAAGAATCACTTTCCATATTTTGCTGTTCTGTTTCTGAAACTGCGACATTGGTGGGACTGACGGGCACATTCCAAACCTGCAGGTGGCGCCTTGGGTTTCTCCTCGGACGTCTTCATCATGGATGCAGTTGGAGGTGGAGACATGAACTTGGGTGAACTGGCTGATCTCACCGTCGCCAATGACAACGATCTCTCCATGGATGTAATTAACACATTTGCTCCCTTCACGACACCTGATGCGGTTCAACCCCTCAGAATCAGTGAGCTAAATCCGGTTTTAATGATATAACCGCGCGTGTGGGTGTTACAGATGCAGGATAACAGAGAGGAGTTCAAGAAGACGTGGAACCCCCGTTTCACGCTTCGCAGTCACTTCGATGCCATCCGTGCGCTGACGTTTCACCCCAGCCAAGCGGTGCTGCTCACAGCCTCGGAGGATGGAACACTAAAACTGTGGAACCTCAACAAGGCCATGCATTCCAAGAAGTAGGAACCCTCTGACCTTTAGGAAAATCAAATACAGTGGTGCCTTGAGATGCGAGTGACCCGAAGCTGTCATTTCAGAACAGTTTTCACTTTGACTTGCGAGCACAAATTCAATCAAACCCTGTATGGTGGCGTTAGACTCAGCTCAGGTCACAACAAGCAGCAGTTTGGCAGATAGAGAACAATCTCAGATGACTCTTCCTGTAACATAAAACCAAAAATTTCTGATACACAAAGTGTAAATCAAACAACCACACAGCTTCAGCTTGGTAGCTTAATGCGAACAAGCAATCACAATGCCATAGACAGGCTAATGACTGCCATCTGTGTTGAGGCGCTATAACTGTTTAAGCAATGGATATTTCAAGACCTGGTAGAGCAACACATGTAGAAGGATAATATCGTCACTTTCCTAAAATAATTGCCCACAAACACACAAAACCCCTTCGAAATACTGATTGTATTCATGAATAATTTAATTTACGGCACTTGTTCTAGCTGATTTTAGCAGAGCTGATCAACATCATGAGATGCTTATGACATTTTCATTTTTATTTTTTTGGGGGGTCAAAATCTGCGAATCCCATATTTTAGGCGATTTTTTTTAGCCTCTTCAAATATGACTAACGTAGAAGCTTAATGAGCACCATGAGGATCAAGTACGCCAATGTATCTGTATTATACATCCCCCAGGTGGTCAAGGCCTGTACACCTGAAAAAGCAGCACAGTGTCCATTGAATTGAAGAAAAAAATGTATTAAAACTGTTTAATTCTTTACATTCTATTATTCATGACATTGCTGTATTTAAAATATTCTAGAGTGCTCTTTATATTAATAAAAATTTCTTTTTTGGGCCAGAGGCTTAAGCAGATCATATCGTATCCGTGCATTTCAATGGGAGAGACGAGTTTTTTTTCAATTATCTCAAAGCACCACTCTATTCAATGTAAATGTCACAGATACACTAGTGTGAAATCTGCAGTGTGTAGTGTAAATGTGACCTCTTAAAGATTAAAGTTAAGCAAAGTTTTTCTCCACAGAAATGCTGCTTTAGACGTTGAGCCCATTTACACGTTTCGAGCGCACAGGTGAGTCCAAACATGTCCAAGCACCATACTGAGCAATAATAATTATGAACATCATCCATCCATCCATCCATCCATCCATCCATTATCTGATGTGTTTATTCTCACGAGGGTCACGGGCGTGCTGTAGCCTATCCCAGTATTCTTCGGGCAGTAGGCTGGGTGCACCCTGAACTGGCTGCCAGCCAATCGCGGGGCACACCAGTGTTAACCAAACTCGTGCTAACCATTCGCGCTCACACTCACACTTAGGGACAATTTAGTGTGTTCCATTAACCTGCCACACATATTTTTGGAATGTGGGAGGAAACTGGAGTACCCGGAGAAAACCCACACAAGGCAGCGTGAGATAATTGCCCACAAACACACAAAACCCCTTCGAAATACTGATTGTATTCATGAATAATTTAATTTACGGCACTTGTTCTAGCTGATTTTAGCAGAGCTGATCAACATCATGAGATGCTTATGACATTTTCATTTTTATTTTTTTGGGGGGTCAAAATCTGCGAATCCCATATTTTAGGCGATTTTTTTTAGCCTCTTCAAATATGACTAACGTAGAAGCTTAATGAGCACCATGAGGATCAAGTACGCCAATGTATCTGTATTATACATCCCCCAGGTGGTCAAGGCCTGTACACCTGAAAAAGCAGCACAGTGTCCATTGAATTGAAGAAAAAAATGTATTAAAACTGTTTAATTCTTTACATTCTATTATTCATGACATTGCTGTATTTAAAATATTCTAGAGTGCTCTTTATATTAATAAAAATTTCTTTTTTGGGCCAGAGGCTTAAGCAGATCATATCGTATCCGTGCATTTCAATGGGAGAGACGAGTTTTTTTTCAATTATCTCAAAGCACCACTCTATTCAATGTAAATGTCACAGATACACTAGTGTGAAATCTGCAGTGTGTAGTGTAAATGTGACCTCTTAAAGATTAAAGTTAAGCAAAGTTTTTCTCCACAGAAATGCTGCTTTAGACGTTGAGCCCATTTACACGTTTCGAGCGCACAGGTGAGTCCAAACATGTCCAAGCACCATACTGAGCAATAATAATTATGAACATCATCCATCCATCCATCCATCCATCCATCCATTATCTGATGTGTTTATTCTCACGAGGGTCACGGGCGTGCTGTAGCCTATCCCAGTATTCTTCGGGCAGTAGGCTGGGTGCACCCTGAACTGGCTGCCAGCCAATCGCGGGGCACACCAGTGTTAACCAAACTCGTGCTAACCATTCGCGCTCACACTCACACTTAGGGACAATTTAGTGTGTTCCATTAACCTGCCACACATATTTTTGGAATGTGGGAGGAAACTGGAGTACCCGGAGAAAACCCACACAAGGCAGCGTGAGAACATGCACATCCACACAGGAAGGCCAGCGTCTGAATCGAACCCTATACCTCTGCTCTGTGCTAATCAGTAGATCATTGTGCCGCCTATGAACATCAAGTGGAACTGATTGTTTCTTCATATCTATGTTTATTCATATTGAGCATTTTTTCACTATTTACAACCAACCTCAGTTATCAGCTTTTGTGATATAATGAAAGGATCAAGAATGACATCAGACTTTACACACCCTGTTATTTTGTCTAGCTAAATGAGACTCGAACCATCTTGTATCTCAATTCACTTCATATCTCTAGTCAAGTGAGCTCCTGCTCACCCTGCCCCTTACAGTGCTGTGCCACTCCTGAATAGGACATTGATTCAGAAAGGTGGTTCTCTGAATCTGACACGTTAAACTCTTTGTCCAGTGGCGCTGTTTTGTCACTGACTATGGGAGAAGATGGAGAATCCTGCTACAGTGGAGGCCTGGATGGAAGCGTAAGGTGTTGGAAGATGCCAGACTTCAATGTAGATCCTTACGACAACTACGGTCAGTGAATCAGCTGCGCAGGATGGTCGCCACCTACCTTAAATGAGATGTTATCATATCAACGGCTTGTTGTGTCACCTTAATTAGATCCTGGCATAGAGAGCAGCGTGTTGGCAGGTCACGAGGACAGCGTGTGGGGTCTCACATATTCCGCAGTCCACCATCGGCTGGCCTCGTGCTCAGCGGACGGCACCATTCGCATCTGGGACCCGCGGAGCTCTGCGCCCTGCCTGTCTGTCATCAATAAGGAGAGAGGTAGGTACATGCCTGTTACTTGAGCTTTTCCGTTGTTTACACGTGTAATACCTCACACTCTCGCCGTCTCGTCAGAACACGGGACGCCCACATCGGTGGCCTTCGTGGCTTCTGACCCCAACCAGGTGGTGGTGTCATTTGACGCAGGCGAAACCCTGCTCTATGACCTCAACACGGAGCAGAGCATCACAGCACTCGAGACGCAGACCAAGGATGGTACGTCCAAGACGCTTGCTTGCCCCACTTAATGAACTGTGTCAAGACGTTGTCACGCATCTGGAGATATGGTTGTTTATTGTCCTTTCCAGGAAGTGAACTAATTAACCGTGTGGTGAGTCACCCATCTGAGGCCCTCTCCATCACCGCACACGAGAACCGCACCATCCGCTTCCTAGACAACAAGACGGGTACCCGCATTTCTCCATTTAATGGGCTACTGTTTCGTGGGCTGCTAGAGGATATCAATATTCTCCTTTTTTTTTCGATAGGTAAAGTGGTCCATTCTATGGTGGCCCACTTGGATGCAGTTACATGTCTCACAACAGATCCAAAAGGCACTTACCTCATCTCTGGCAGTGAGTTGCAACCAAATCAGTAACATTGATATAAAATTAACTTTATCTCACATCCACAGTTCCTTTCATTGAAATTCAGCTTATGACTGAATATTTAAATAACTTTTAATTATATTGTGTGGTTAGTTGAAGTCAAGCAGTCAATATTATTCGCTGACAAAATAATTGCATTTGCTCTAGTGATGCACGATATGAGAAATTTCAACCGATACCACTAATTTCCTGCTTTGTATGGCTGATACTGCAAACCAATGTTTTGTATACTATAAATATATCTGGTGTTGCGGCATAATTGAATAAATGTTACAACCCCAACCCTGCCATTTAATGTCGTGGGGTTGGAGGATGATATGAAAAAAAAAAAAAAGGTTGTCAGCGACAGCGTACAGTCGCTTGTTTTGCTACTTGCTGAACTCTTGTCGCTTCAGACTGAGGCGATGAGCAATCTCAAACGCTCTGATGCGTAGAGTACCTTTAAATAAAGTTGGTTCCGTTTTGTTATCACACCCTAATTGTGTTTGCGCCGGGACACTGTTGTCCTTGCCTGCCTCTCTGGCCTTTATTCTCGAGCAAAAAAGTTGCATAATCATGCATTTAAATAATCGTTTGAGTTTGTTGTGTTTGATTTCTAACCACCACCAGTGTGAACCAAACTTGTGCTAACCAGTTGACCACTGTGGCGCCTTGATCGAACATAAGAATCCAAATTCTTGTTATCTTTTGCATAGATCAAGCAAATTTCTGCACTTGGATGAATTTGAGCTTCCCAATTCCTTATTGGTAAATATAATTTCCTCCTCCTGCAGGCCACGACTGCTCCGTGCGCCTGTGGATGCTCGACAACAGGACGTGCGTGCAGGAGATCACGGCCCACAGGAAGAAGCATGATGAGGCTATTCACGACGTGGCCTTCCACAGTTCGCAGCCCTTCATCGCCAGCGCAGGCGCCGACGCACTCGCCAAGATCTTCGTCTGATAGTACCGCGGTTCCATCTGGTGAGGCCGGAGCGGCGGGTGCGGGACTTTTCACAATTCATTATATTTACTGCAAACTATGTGGAGGCCTCCTGCTGAAAATATCTCGATGTTTCTACTTCCAGCTTCACTTGAAAAAGCAGGTTCTCAAACTTTTACATCAAGTACACCCCCCGCCCCCTCCAAAAAAAAAAACCTTACTCAAAGCATCATCAACATGAAATTGAGGGTTTTTTTCCCCCCCAAATTGCAGCCTGTGTGACTTGAATAACTCCAATGTGATGCCGATTTCAGTTGGATTCATTGTTCAGCTCTACACATTCAGACAAACGTTGAAGAGTTTGGCGTCAAAGAGACCTGTTTTTTTTTTTCTTTTTTTCCAGTTTAACTCATGGTGCAACTGATTGTGGCAATAAACTGCTTGAGGAATAGTTCACTGTACTGCAAACTGCTGCTTGCCGTTAAATGAGTTCAATTGGCTCAGTTACTCACACTTGTATCTCAATTTTTTGCTTACACGTCAAAGCAAAGAATCAGCAGTTACATGGCTTGTATCGCCAAAAACTTGAAAGTATAAAATAATTGTAGTAAAAAAAAAATGTGTCAAGACAAGCACTTCTTGGAGATTGAAAATAACAACACTTAACTGTACTTACGCAGTGATTCTTTCGCATACCACGAGTGGGAGCCCGCACATCACATTCCAGAATCACTCCAGTGGGGCATCAACATAACTTAAATGTGACCATGTTTCTCTTTTTTTCTTTTTCAGACACCCTCGACTGTGCCGAAAGAGACTACAATGGACACAATTTCCCCTTCATACACACAAGCGCGTGAACACACACACACACACACACACACACACACAGACACACACACACTGTTGTCCTGCATCCCACTGGCTGGGTTATTGTCACAGGACGTCACCTCCCCTCACTTCCTCACTGTTTTATGCCTCAGTGACTTCTTGTTATACAAACCACACTGCTTTGTTTTTTAACTCTAGAAGCTCCTATCTGCGGCTTCAAAAAAATCATTTCTACACTACAATACGCTTTTCCTCTTTTGTTTTTCTTTCTTTTCCTTTTTTTTTTTTAATTCCAAGTCTACCGATTGTTATGTCAAGGTGGCATGTGCACTCGAGCTCTATTAATTACTGCTCATGTTTTAAGGAGAACCACCAATTAGACTCGTGCATGCCGTATAAATGCAAAGTGTAAGTTTCGTGTGGCTGACCAGTGGGATGTAGGTATGTTATCAAATCGGGGAACCTGTCTGTATGTGTCACATTCCAAAGACTCAATGAGGAGTATGTGGTGCATTCTGGGTTTTTTTTTTTTCTTTTCTTTTCTCAAGGTCCGACAATGTTCAACATGCCAGTGTTTCAACTTAATAGCTTTAATTTCAACTTGGCCACGACCCATTTTCACTGTATAGGTGTTGTATGGAATGTGAATTTGTCCATATTTAAAGTGGAACTGAACCCAAGACGTTCAAAGTTTTGCTTGTCAGGTGCCGTTTCAAGTAGTTTTTTTGAAAAATGTGCATCAAAACAATGCATCTGCTCTCGTGTAATCGCTTCTGAGGGCTGCCATTTCTAGGTCTTTTCAAGATTTGCAGGAATGTGACCTATTTGCTCGTCTTATTATGCAGCTTTATTTAATAAAAGAACCACCCAGAGTTTGTACTAACTCAGTTAGTTACTCCAAATCAGTAGTTTTCAGTAAGTCCCCAAAACAGCATCTTACTTGAGGTTACTAAACATTGCATCGTTCAAGTTAGTAATATGCTTTGTATCGCTATCAATACGGTGATCACCGACTAGACAACAAAGCCTTAGATACTTCCAAAAATCAAATGACTTTGGTTACATCATCTTCCCCAAACACTTTTTCAAAGCTCCTCGAGCCACGAGGCAGCTGACATTTCCTTGACAGAAATATGTTTTTAAATGTATCTATTTTCTCAAGTTATTGTCTTGAAGAAAAAAAAAATGTTGAGGCGACAACCATGACGTACAGTATGGCTCCGAAACGTTCATGAGCCTTTCTCCATTTGTTTCCGCAAACTATTTTCTAAACTTTATAATGTTTAGGAATGGGTAATACAACATACAATTGATTTGGGGACGGACCAGCTTGCAAAATTCATCGCTTTCGACATACTGTCGGCCGACACAATTCAATGGAGCATTCTGGTTGCAGGTATCGCTCTGCTCACACATGGCGTCACTTCCTGACTAGCTGGTAATGATTCGGCCCAACGTGGTGTCGCCGCCCCCTTATGTAATTAATAATTCTGTTTAATTTATACTCCATTCACACAATATTGATTACAGTTCCGTATTTTGACTAGTGCTGATACAGACAATGTATTCTTGCTTTAAAAATAATTGGGTTTAGTTCTTCTTTAAGGCTGACAGTGCTCTTGTATATCAGTAAGGTGAGAACACAGTTAAAGGTTGGGGAGTGCGGTTTGAGGCCAATCTGTGCGTTCCCAGCAAATTGGGTTATTTACTGCTTTTTACTGTACAGAGGAGTGTGTGTGCATGCGTACGCACTAGTGAAATCATGGTGCTATGAAAGGTTGCGTTAGTTCAGGGACTTTTTTTTTTTTTTTGGCGCGTGGTAGAGTAAGACTTGCAGTGTTGACGCGTCACTGTTGAATCACTTCATTGACTTGCCATGCATTTCACAATGTTGACTTTTCTAAATTTCTCCTCGGTGGCATGTGTGAGTGCAAGAGAGATCCGTAGTTCCGCCCGTCCGCCCCCCGTGGAATGTCTTTTTGTCAGCGTTCTGCATTCAGAACCCCCCCCCCCCACACACACACACACACACACAAAAGCAGGACACCCTCCTGAGATTCCCTCTTGTTGTATGGCGCACATGAATTTGCACCGTGGCACGTTAGCCTCGAGGCAGAGGCATGCCGAGGAGAAACATTGCTCAGAGGGGGAATGAAACAATCGTTTTGAATCGGTCACGTTTATCACTACACATAGAAAGCATCGTTTGGGAGCTGAGGTGCTGTGTAAGAACGTCAGTTTAACTTAGTAACTGTTGATCAGAGCCCTAAAGTGTCTGACCACTGTGTTCTGGTATTTGTCAGGGGAAGCCCTAAGCCGCCATGGAGAACAGTTTTCCGTAGGGTTGTATTTATGATTAAAAAACAACTTTTAGTTTAATACCTCATAGGGATGGGCATTTTCATATAAATTGTTTAATTATGGGGAAATGGATTAATCAATTATGTTGAAATATTTTTAATGGAATGGGCGAATCTTTGAACGTTTTTCACTCTTCGTAGTAGTTGCCATATTGTCACTGTTGGGCGGAAACCTTTGTTCAAATATGATCAATTTCATATTTCTTCATAAACTGGTACGGTTGGTCGTGGGTCTGTTATTTTTGAAAATTATTGACCAATCTAAATGATTCCAAATAGCCTGCTCTCTTTGAGGATGCAATACTAATGGCTGAACAATTGTGTGTGTGTTTTTTTTTTTTTTTTTTTTACCGAAAAGGGAATGTTTTGGAGTTCACGATGATTCTGCCCAACACCAGCAGTATGATGTCTCTGGCTCAACTTGCCATGCCTGATATGGTGGGGTTCTTTAGATATCAGATCTGAACGATCAGAATTGATTGTTATGCCCATCCTAGTAATGACTGAAAATAAATTGTGACAAAAGTTGTCCCGCTTGCAACTCTTAAGATAACAGGGTACCTTTACGGTCACTTTATTATTATTTTTTTTCTCATCATCATGGGGTCTCCAGCATTCAGATCTCTGGGCTTATCCTTTATAACCTGCATTGAAAAACTGGAAAAAAAAAAGCGACATGCGACTACATCAACTACCTTAGCGGGACCTCTGAGAATGACTGATCTTTATATGAAAGCATGTTTGTGTTTTGCCATTCTCCCTTAACCTGTTCCACTTTTTTCCAACCTAAAAGTATTATTTTCAGAAAACGAATGAAAAGTTGTTCAGTCACAACCAAAACAGTCGTGGACCGTCGATGAAGCAGTGACAATGATCAAGATAATGACTCTTTTTCAACATAAATCGAACTATTGTAACCAGAGTTTAATTATTAGTTTATGTGAGGTTTTAAATTCAGTTAAGAGCAATGGCAACTGCTGGCCTGCCGCGCGTATTAGTGTTTCCAGTCATTTGTGCAGGTTCCTGTGAAAGGTCTTTTGACAGCCCCCTTTTTTAAATAAACAAGGCAGCCGAGTAAACAAAACTTTAATCTGGACTAACAAATGTCAATTAACAACAACTAGCCTGTGAGTTTTGCTAAAGGGTGCCCTTGTGATTTGTGATCACTTTGTTTGGGCTCCAGCTCACACGCGACCAAAATGCAGACGATAGCAAAAGGATGGTTAGCTCAAGGCCAAAACGAGCTCTGTGTGAGTGCAAATCACTCAGATGCGTAGCAAAAAATGAAAATGGTTGTAGATGTGTTGTCAATATCTAGCATCTTTTTGTTTTCTTGTGTCTGCTTTGACTCTGAATGCGAAGAATTCTGTCGCAGCATAAGTTAATCATCCTCCCTTACTTGGCATAGGACTTGCTAATAATTGCTAATGACATTTTACAACTTCATTAAAAAAAGTGCATAATGCAAAAAAAAACAACAAAAAAACTAAACAAAATGCCCAAAAATGTGTTACCAGTCAGAGGCCAAGGTAAATGACCCATTGTATTTTTATTTTTATTCGCAATTTATCACTGTGTGATACTTTGTACATCATTAAGCTCTATTCAAACAATTTCCTCGAACTACAAGGGATAAGAGACCTGCTTTTATTAATTTTGTTTTATCTATTTTTGAACTGCATTCTAGCTTGTATCAAATGACTCTCCTGTTTTTTTGTTTTTTTTTTGATGGGTCGCTTGTTGTATGTGCTTAAGATAAAAGGATAAAAAATGATTTTGTACAGTAAGTGTGTATATATCATCATTCTTTGCCTTGCTGTTTGCAATTACTAAAGCAACTCAAATCTTACACAGTTATGGTAATACCAGTACAGTCAAAAGAATCAACTGCATCTGCACAATTTAATTCTGGTACCTTGCTGTATGGAGTGTGCATGTTCCCCCTGCGTTTGCAGACCTTTTCTCCAGGTATACGCCGCATTCCAAAAACATGCATGTTAGATTCATTGAGGACTCAAAATTTCCATCGCCGTCAGTGTGAATGGTTGTGGCTTGTAATTCACCAAGCATGTATCAGACACATTTCAGTTTGCAAACATCATGGGTGATTTGCCTTTTTTTTTATTTATTTTTTTAGTCCCATTCGAACCTTACAACAAGTAATTAGAATTTACATGTTTCCTTGTTTAATTTCAGTCTTCCTTCGGTTGAATTATTTATTTGCTCATGTTTACATGACAGAAGATACAGTGTAAGTCATTGGATTTTTTTCCCCCTTAGATTTATAGCTTCTTCGTTTAAGGCATGAAAATATTTTAGATTACAAACATGGTGAATAAATGATTCTTGACATGTTGAATAAGATATTGTAAATATTTTAATATTTTTAACTCCTTAGCTCTTCGATAAGTATTTGAAACACGTAAATGTGACATGACAAAAATGAACATGTTTTTAGATAATTATTGCTAAAATGACAATCAAAAGTTGGTGTGAGTATTTCGTTCTATTGAATGTCAGGTGTGGCTAATGTTTTGGACCTCCCCGAACCAACCACAGAAACAAGTGTGTCGTTAAGCAGGTGTGAGGTGTGGTGCTGCTTTTCTGTTTGGGCATTGGAAATGGGGAGAGGGGGAGGAGCAAGTAGTGAAGATAGCCCCGCCCTAAAAGAGAGCCAATTGGCTGACGAGCGTGTCAATCATTTCACTTCCTGTTGGGAGGCGAGTGTCGTGCCGTCACTCAGCTCTTTCTTTTCTTTTAAAAATGGTTGAAACTGAATGGTGAAATGAGCGCAATCTGTCGTACGTTTTAATTCTCATCGTTTCCTGTGCGAGGGGAGGCCATTTTGTAACCCCGAATCAACTTTTGTACTTGTTTCTTACTTTCTGTTTCTCTTGGTTTGCCTTCACATTCAAGTTTGTGGACTTTCTCATCAACAGCACAAGGAGGAAAAACTGCCAGCAAAGAAGGAAAGAGTAGAAAGAGGAGGAGGAAGAGGAGGCTAGTTTCCCTCCTTCAGTGAGGGTGTTTGTTTCTCACGCTCATGTGAAGGAGAAAAGACACCGTCAAGGAAGGGCAGAAAGCACTTCCTGCAGAGAGGAATCCATTCCTGTATTCCACAGGGAAGCGAGGACTATGCTCAGTACTCCTGCGTGGGTGAGCCTGTGAACGAACGTGTCTTTTCTAGAAAGTGTTGAGAGGTTGGAAGCACAGCTTGGGAGGTTGCGAGGATGGCCAACGCCAGCCCCTGCATGCCTTCGGGACCCATGGGCCAGGTTTTCTTTTCTCCGGGGACCTCCTCACTGCATGGTTCGCCCGCGGTGACCCCCCTCCCGGTGGCCTCCGTGTCCCCCCAGGGTGGATTCAACGTGATGGACTTCACCCACGGGGTGCTGGGTGCGTCGGGGGGTGCAACGATGACCCCGGGGTCCCCGGCTCCTTCAGGGGTGTCTTTCAGCATCCAGATTGGCCTGACGCGGGAGTCGGTGCTGATGCCACAGAGTGCAGACCTGGCCTACGTGAAACAAATTGCCTGCTCCATAGTTGACACCAAGGTAAACACGCACGCACATGCACATATTGCTTTATACCTCCAAAATCATCACTTCTCAGGAGACCCCAAAACACCTTTAACGTTGCATTTTCAACACTTAGACTAGTCAATAATGTGAAAAAAATCACACACACAAGTGGACAGACCAATAGTGTAGAATTATGAACAAAATATGACTTTTACCAAATTGTTACGTTGGAGGTTTGGACCCTATGCCAGCGAATTATGCACCAATGCAAACTTTTGTGCGGTTTTGTCCTTGTATCACATTCGAGCAAGAAATTTGTTACCAGACTCTGGGGAAATTTGACAATTTTGCTCTTACTAAGCAATTACAATTAAACTTAGCTCAGTTCGGCAGTCTTGTTGTGCTCCGTCAGGCACCCAAGGGCAAGAACGCTTTTATTGTATGCCAAGAACAAACATTCCAACTCATTGATGCTGCAAGTGTCTAGCCATGTTGCTGTTGCATTTTATTGTGTTCTTTTGTTCCCAACTTTAATTGTTTAGATCTCTTTTGATATATGTCTGAAAAGTTCCAAGACTGGTGACGTAAAATATATACAGGGGGTGCAAAAGTAGGTATACAGTTAAAAAAACAAAAAGAAAACATGTACTGTATTTTTTCCATTAATCATACAAAATAAAAAAAAATAGAACATTCATCATATACTCTCACTAATTTCACCGATGTGGATACTAGTGTATATTTACCTTTGGTTACCCCCCCCCCCCGCCCCCTGTATTTTTAATAGCCAAAGCCCAAAGATGACTGGGATAGGCTCCAGCACGTCTACGAACCTTGTGAAAACAAGCGTTTTGGATAATTAATGGACGGATGGACATCCAAACTACTACTTGAGATACTGACTTCGGAGTTTTGTTGAGAGACTGGCCATCATTTGGCCAATTTTTGTTATTTTCTTGTGAGCAAAAATTTGTGACATTCAGTAAAAATATGGCGGCAGTGAACTCCACTCACATCACAACAAGCTGTCAAAGTAAACATAAAACTAATGGAACTACATGTTGCATGTTTAAAACAGCCGCATAGCTTTACCTTAGGAAAAGCCATTTAGCTAAATGGTTAAAAAAAAAAAAAGTAAAACGCCATTGACGGGGTAACGAATAGCCTTGATGTAGTGGTATGATAACCCTTAAGCAACAGATACATGAACACAAATCCATCCATCCATCCATCCATCCATTTTCCGATCCGCTTATCCTCACAAGGGTCGCGGGGGCGTGCTGGATCCTATCCCAGCTGTCTTTGGGCAGTAGGCGGGGGACACCCTGAACCGTTTGCCAGCCAATCGCAGGGCACACAGAGACGAACCACCATACACCCTCACACTCACACCTAAGGACAATTTGGAGTGTTCCAACAGCCTGCCATGCATGTGTTTGAAATGTGGGAGGAAACCCAAGTACCTGGAGAAAATCTACGCAGGCACGGGGAAAACATGCAAACTCCACACAGGAAGGCCAGAGCTGGAATTGAACCCGGTACCTCTGCACTGTAAGGCGGATGTGCTAACCACTCATCCAACGGGCCGTCTGCACACAAATCGTTGAGCAACCAATGTAGCCAGATAATACCGAAATACCTTTTGGAGGGAAACGCCCTTCACTTGAGCTGGGGCTGAATACGAAACAATCACAGACATGACAGCTTTCATTCAGGACTACCGAAATCAGTTAACATTTACTATTGAGAAGCTGAAATTGCAAGTCTTTGAACAATTTTGAAAAAGGCATTCAAATGATTCTTTGGTGACAAAAAATAATTATACACGAATCAGTTAGTTTTCGATTAACCGTTGCAGCTCTAGTTACCTGTTCGAGCTGCATAATAGGTGCAATGTGACATGACTAACAGCTGTCAGTAAGAGGCTGTGCAGTTTGACACCACTCCAAATGACGAGCACAAAAATAAACAACAACCCATCCCTGACAGTGTCAATCAAAACGGATCATCTTTTTAAAGTATAATTTTGATACGACTTTGGTATTGTAACCCATTACGCAGACGATGGTGAGTATGGCAGCTAATGACTTTTAAATCCTAAACTGGTCATTCTATTGAACCGTCTTGGTTCCCCAAGTGTGTAGAAGATGAATGTGTGTGTTGTATCATCAGCAATACATGTAATTTTCAGATTAATACAGGCGTGGTGAAAAGAGGCAGCCTGTGAGAAAGTGAGAAACAATCTGCAGACGTGAGATTGTTTGCATCCTCTTTGCTGCAGGATGTACTGAGCATTGTGGGAAATACGGTCTTCCTATACACCAGTAGTAGTTTATTTTCACTATGCAGGGGCGTACCATGTTTCAACCTCATGAGAAAACGAAAATACCAGTGCTGAAGTTTTCTTAAAATGAGGTGTTTTTAAGATAAGGTGTTTGGAGCATGAGCTTTGCAGCGGCCAATTAGGCTGCTATGCGATTATATCGACACATTACCAAAGCCTACGCTGATCAGCTTTTTGTACATTTCTTCACAATTGAAAATCTGCAAGGTGGATAATCTCTTGTCATATTCTTGTTGGCTCTCGTTCTCGTGAGCATTTTGTGGGGGAAATGATACAAAAAGACACTGTATTAACTAGACTTTTCTAGCAGCAGTAGGTTCCTCGCTCACAATGCTGATGTTTACCTTGGACATTTTCAAAGGAGTGTTAAAAGCCGACAAAAGCAAACGTTCTTTACAGAATGCCAGGCAAAAACCGCTTCAGAGAGAGAAATTGAACTCGAGATCAAAAAATGATGACCATGCAGTTAAAAGTTAAATGACCATAATTTTTATTCTTTACTCTGTTCTTTGTTTTTTACATTATGCACAACTCTCATTTATTGCGCAGTGATCTAATTGTAACATGTATTTGTTACATATTTTGATGCATTTTTATGCTTTCGGAAACATTTATGTCTGAATTTTGCGGTGGGGGGTTGGAACAAATTAGGCCATTTACATGGAAAACCCGTCTCTACTTACAAAATTTTCTAGTGAAGAAAATTCTTCCAGAACCAATTCATTTCGCAAGTAGAGGTACCACTGTGTGTGTGTGTGTGTGTGTGTGTGTGTGTGTGTGTGTGTGTGTGTGTGTGTGTGTGTGTTTTTTTTTTTTTAAATGTAATCTAATAACCTTTAGCATACACAAGAAATTGGTTTTCATCAAAGTACAATTTCTTGCTTGGAAAAATTAGGATTGCTCGACATTGTGAATCTTCCTGGCATGTACATTACCAATTCCTCTTCCAAAAGATAACGTAACTCTATGCAAGAGACTCAACTGCCTCTTACGCAGAGATCCCGCAAAATTTCCGCAAATTTGAATGTTATTCGCCTTTTCTTTTTCATGCAGAACTCCGTCGAGTTGGCTATTGCAAATGCAATAGTCTGATTTCCATATTTTAGAAATCATCAGTACGTTTGATGTTGGAATGTAGACTGCGTTTAGGATGTGTGGCCTCAGTAGCCTCACAGGATGTTGCGTGCTGTGTGCGCACGGAACTCAGAGATACACAGTGCTTAACTAGACTCGGTGAAAACACACATAAGCAAGCGGGTGAACATGCAAACTCCCGACATTAAAGCCCCAGATTTGAACTCTCAACCTCAGAACTGTCATGCAAATGTGCTAACCACAATTATATTTATTTCAAACTTTTTTTAGGTTCCCAAATATGGTTCCTTGCCCTATAAATACAAAATATTATAGTGGTATTTATGATTTCCCTAATCCTATGGAGGAACTATAATAGCAAACAGATGTTTTCAAGACCGTAGTCCAAACAGAGTTGAGCTTCTGGTTTAACACCAGCTTGGCCATGTGCAGTAAAAGTAAATGACAGTACTGCTGAGTGTGGTGGATGGAGATTAGTCTGGAGTGAGAACGATTAGGAAAAAAAGAGGACCCTGAAACTGTTTATTCTCAAGTCTTACCACATGAGCTGCACACCCACACTCGGCAAGAAATGCTAAAATCCCCTAAATACGAAACTCCAGCTCCGCTAGTGCAGAAGGATTTAGTTGAGGGACAAGGACAATAGGCGGCTTGTCCCAGCCGCGGCACCACACGAGCTTGAGTGCCCGAGTGTCGATGTGCAAGCATGAATGCCTATATAGTATTGGTGTGTTTTTAGAGGGCTTGTGTGGTGCAGAGTGCACCCCTGCACCCCAACCATCGCCCACGGTCATCTCACCCATCCCAGAAAGGGTGAGTCACCGGCTCTGTTTATTCACAGGCTCCCTCCTAGTACAGTATTCCGTTGGCACGTTTTTCCATTCACTTCCCGTCTCATGGTGCACGCTGGTTTCCAACACGAACCTTCACTTTCCAAACATGACCCTAACAGCGAATGCCCACTTTCCTGTCAATGTTTCAACTTTTTCTGTTGCTTGGAATCCCAATCTGTATTTCCATCAAATCATGCTGCAGCTTTTGCATCGGACAGGCCTCAATGGTGACTTTTAGGCATGTAAAAAAAAAAAAAAAAAAAACGATTTCAATCGGAAAATAGGTTTTGATTTTATTAGAGGCATTCTCACCCTTAATATATATATCACGCACACACAGAGTCCGCTGTGACTCAGAGCCCCTGCCCTGGCCATTGTTTCCATCTCCGTTCTGGGAGACACGTGCGTGTTTTATCGTCCTCCCAAGAGAAGCCGTTTGGCCTCAGGATTGGGATCACACACACCACCTCCTGTTTACCTCACCCTTTTGCATGTGTAATCCACACAAAAACACGGTGAGGTCATGGAACAGCGCGGCAAACGAGGTTAGCGTTATGCATGCAGCGGCGGAACCAATTTTAATGAGATCCGCTGAGTTTATCGTGGGAATACTCGACGATTGCTTGGAAGTGTCCTCAGATCCTTTTGTCAGTCACCGTGTGCCATTAACACAGATTGGACCAGAGTCCCATGGAATTGGGTGTGCGCTAATTGTGTTCCAATTCTACAAAGACTGAATAGAAACGTGAATGGTGAACAGC